ATTTTCAGCAGAAAATTGCTCAAACTTAGTCAGAATCATCTTGGGTAAATGAGAGTTTTACTTTGTAAAATTAGGATTCCTGCCCCATCCCCAGGGGCTAGGGCGGGGCCCCAAAGGGAACATTTACCAATATTTTCAAATTCTTATCCATTGATGACATGACAAGTATTGTATTTCACTTAGTTTACATGCTGATTTCCACATCACATCTAAACAATAAAATAAAGCTACCAGTACCTATGATATAACTCAGGTGACCGCTAAGGCCCTTGGGCCTCTTGTTTCAATAAATTTGTTTAAAATAAAAACAAAGAGAATGTGTAACCTTTCAGATTTGAGGGTTTGACAGCTGAGGTTTATATCCTTAATGTGTTGATGTATATGTGTAAATTCCACTTACCTTTCAGAAATAAATGTTAACATGGAAAAGTAATTAAATTCAGTATTTATGGCCACAAATGAACCCAACCACTAGGATTATTTAAGATTCTTAACTTTATGGGAAACCAGATAAACTTTAATCATCCTTGAGTATTATTATTGCTGAGGTCTTGTGGTGAATTAAAATGTTTAATGCCCAGTCCACATGTACTAAAAGGGAAATAAAATCCTCTGGTTTATTTAAGAACATGTTTAGAAAACATTGCCACAGGTTGATACAGTGTGAGTCTGATGGCAGGTTGTTAATCTGTGCCTAGCCAACAGCTGTACCAGGATGTAAACACACATATAGGACGGACAGGATATCGGTGGGATCCTACAACAGGTTGAGAGTTCTTATCAGACACGTTTAATGATCTAAGAAAAACAAAAACATCCCTGCAGGGGAAAAAAACCTATTTGGAACACCCACGTGCTGGAGCTTTTGGCGCTAGTGTGTTGACTTTGGAGAAAGGCTTTATGTGACAATGCAAACACACAGAGATTTAAAAGTTTATATTTAAATCAGAGATGATCTACCAGCATGTTGCCTCTACATCCTTCATGTGCACGTGTGTTTTAATCTGATGGTGATGTATATATAATAATAAAAAAGAAATGGGAAGTAGAACTCAGAACTAGGACACAGGAATTAGAGGAGTAAGACAGTAGACTGGCTAACAGCCCCTAAGTTTTAATGAAGATTTCTACACTGCATTTACTTCTAGCTTATCTCCCCCTAGTTTAGATCTTAGAATCAGACATCCAAGTGATCAAAATTATTAGAGTTAATTGTTTTTTAGGTCACCTGAGACAAAGTCTCAAGTGACCTATTGCGAGCGCCTTTTGTCCATCGTCGTCCGAAAACAATTTACATTTTTGACTTCTTCTCCAAAACACCTGAACCACAATGAAATATTGCAGAAACCTTCCATGGCCAAAGGTCAACAAAAATAGTTGCCGGTTTGGTCCCCGGCCCCCAGGGGCCTGAGGTGCGGGGCCGAAAAGGGTCAAATTGACTAAAATTTCTTAAGGTGCTTTACCAAAATTGTGAATTTCATGACCCTTGGGTATCATGTTTCCCCCTGGGGAGGGGGTAAACTTTACTATAGTTTATATAGGGAAATCACATTTTGGACCAACATTTGTTTAATTGCCATTGGAGGTAATTCAATTTAGGTTAGCATTATCAGTATTGGGTAGAAGTTTGATGGTATGCACATATGAGCCCTGACTGACCCCCGAGGCTATTGGGTGGGGCCAAAAAGGGTTGAATTGACTGGAATTTCAAAAATCTTCTTATCAAGACCCAGATATGGTAGAATGAAACACTCTTCATAGTTGGAAGGGTCTTAAGGTGCTCTACCAAAATTGTGAATTTCATGACCCTTGGGTATCACGTTTCCCCCTGGGGAGGGGGTAAACTTTACTATAGTTTATATAGGGAAATCACATTTTGGACCAACATTTGTTCAATTTCCATTTGAAGTAATTAAATTTAGGTTATCATTATCAGTATTGGGTAGCAGTTTGATGGTATGCACATATGAGCCCTGACTGACCCCCCGGGGCTGATGGGAGGGGCCAAAAAGGGTCGAATTGACTGGAATTTCAAAAATCTTCTTTTCAAGACCCAAATATGGTAGAATCAAACACTCTTCATAGATGGAAGGGTCTTAAGGTGCTCTACCTAAATTGTGACTTTTATGACCCTTGGGTCTCACGTGTACCCCTGGGAAGGGGGTAAACTTTACCATAGTTTATATAGGGAAATCACATTTTGGACCAACATTTGTTTAATTTTCATTGGAAGTAATTCAATTTGGGTTAGCATTATCAGTATTGGATAGAAGTTTGATGGTATGCACATATCAGCCCTGACTGACCCCCCACGGCTGATGGGTGGGGCCAAAAAGGGTTGAATTGACTGAAATTTCAAAAATCAAATCTTCTCAAAGACCCAGATATGGTAGAATCAAACACTCTTCATAGATGGAAGGGTCTTAAGGTTTATGACCCTAGGGTCTCATGTTTACCCCCTTGGGAAGGAGGGGGCAAAATTTATTATGGTTTATAATGGCAAATGATACTTTGAATATTACATGTTAATAAATATGACTGGAATTATAACCCTGAGTTGACAGTTTGATACTTTGAAAATTTTGAGCCAGCCCTATCCCCAAGGGCTGAAGGGTGGGGCCCAAAGGAGTCAGTGTGCTAAAATTTCTTCATTTTCCTTGTTTAGAATCAGAGGTGCTAGTTTCAAATACTTTTTAGTCTTAAATCTGTATGCTAGATATTGAATAAGGTGGTTTTATTGTTTATTGTCACTGAATAATATTTCTGTTCGTGTTAAAAACAAAATCAACTCTCTGTATAAATATATCAGGTGACCGTTAAGGCCCATGGGCCTCTTGTTTAAATAATAAAGGTCCCTGTCTCTAGAATTATTTATATAGATATTAAATTAAATTTAATATCTATATAATATTCTAGAGACAAGGGCCAGTATAGACATATTGGAATGGAAAGTGGAAGAGGGCTGGGATATCAAAACAGGAAGTAGATAGAAAGTGGGACTGTAAAACAGGACAATTGGGGGAAGAATGGGACATTGAAATAAAAAGTGGCGGAATACTGGTATCTTTAAATAGAAAATTGAGGTCAGTGTGACTTTGAAAAAACGGAAAAAGAAGACGGTATAAACATGAGAATAACTTACAAAGCTGTGGGAAGTACAGGGAGGAATTCCTCAAGAGAGGTTGTTGATTCCACTTGTAGTATACAGCCATAAAATTTAAAACAAACTTAATAATCAACCAATGAAAAGTAAAATTGTGATGCTAGAAACATTTTACTTAATTAGTACGAATATTCCTTAAAATAAAATGACATCAATTATTTCATTGAGAATAAACATTTGTTTTTAAATTAGTTTAGCTGATAGGAACTTTATTAACTAGTACCTGTTTTAGTATAGGTAATAACTTTCATATTCCGGCCTAGTCCTGAGACTACACTCGGTGACCCATCGCTTGATGCCTCCATCTTGTCCAAGTGTGGACACTTTACAGATGGTGACACTGAAATTAACTTAACAACCTTGGAAACCGAATTGACTATTCCCTCCATTGATTTGGGACATCCCATTGTGATAGATAGGGGTAGTGGTATAACCAGCGTGGCACATGTTTCTAATTTCCCCACCCAGTGCCTTTCTGTTTGATGATCAGGAGGATTAAATGGTTTTTTTTTTGTATCTTGACAACCCCCTATGGCGTTTTTTTCCTTGTTTCTGTGTCTTTTTAAATTAAAGCACATGTTTTTCTTCCAACCTTTAATGTATGTTAATTAACTGGATACAGAAGTTTGGCAGTGCATGTACATGTCTGGCTTGATTAGATTGAATATAAACAGACAGTGGCTCCAAACAAATGTAGGTTTAAGTAGAGGATGACGGCAAATAAAGGTGTCAATTAGACATTTTTCACACTGGTGATTCACCAGTTAAACTACTTTGTTTAAATAATTATAAATCTTGGTGTAGTTCGAGTAGGGGAAGGATGGTTACTTTGGTAATGAAATGATTTGAAGATTTTTAACTAACACTGTTATATGTTGAAACACATGAAAAGAAAAAAGAAATAATTGCTGTTTATATGGCCTTATTTTGAATTGGATTATATACTCATAGTCCTTTGAAATAAGTAGTTTTTGTTTATCAGTATTTTTGATCAATTTTTTACGCCTTCAAAATACATGTCGTGCAATGTGCATTAAATGTCTGCCGTTTCTGTTAGTTTGTCCATACAACAGCCTTCGTTAGTTTTTATACTAGCTCCATTTCTCTAATCCTAGAAGTCTAATTTGTCATCTCACTTCACATCTGGATACATCTTGAGGAATGTTACACCAATATATCAAATGAAGGTCACTGTGACCTATATTTTCCATTAAGCTGTCATTAGTTAGACTTTGTCTTAAGCTCTATTTCTCTAATCCTGGAAGTCCAGCTGTCGTCCATCTTCACTTGTGGATAACACTTAAGGATATTACAGCTTAGGACTATATGAGAGCCTGTGTATATTTTGATCCTTTTTTCATAAGTACAGTTCTTGGTAATTAGAATCTGTCTAGTGGTGTAGAGAAATGGGGCAGCACAGCAGGTCCAACAACATCCAAGATAGGCTTAGTAACCTATTTAGAATATCTAAATTGGCAGTAATTGGTTGTTTTGAAACCACCATGTTAGCCTTTAGGGATGAGGTAACATTTTAGTCGTCAACAGTTAAAAAGATACATGTACAGTGTCTATCTCTGCCATGTTGGACGGTAGTGCTAAATAAGTGTAGCAGATGATTCATTGTTGACATTTCATCTCTGGTATGTACAGGACAACTGCTGAAATGGTCACATTTTAATGTGATGAGAAATTTAATAAATTCAGACACTCTGTTTTTAGGAGAGATATGTCGATAATTCAAAAACTCCTAGATGAAGATTGATTTATTTTTTTTATAGATGAAGACATTAAGATTGCATATGTGTTCAGATTAATGGGGCTCTTCTTTAGGAACTTGGATTTAACAGCACAGCCCTCCACTTAATTCCTTAATATCTGATTTACATCACAAGGGGAGATGCATCTTCCCTGAGGTCTCTGTTGTTGACAGGCTTTTGAAACTTGTATTATTTGTGAACAAAAAGATCTCTAAATGGATTAATAACACTGTGTTCCAATACTGGCACCATTTCTGGTGCCAAGGAGGCTGAATTAGACCCGAGACCGTCCCTGGTGTTACACTTCCTTCCTTAAACTAGAGCTGGATACATGCAAGAGCAGATAAATAATAAACAAACTGACCTTTTACTTGCTTTCAGCTAATGGACTGAGCTTAATCTTTATTTCTTTTCTTCCATAACTGGTAGAAAATGCAGAGTAAAAAATCAATATTGAAATGTGTGTGTGTGAGTGTGTGTGGTGGTGTCATTGCTTGCTCACACAGTCTCTTCCACTTGCTTTCATTTCAGTTCCTAAACGAATTTTAAAAGAAAACAGTCGACATCGTCACAAGAAGAAAAAAAAGAAAAAGAAGCCGTCTACAAGCGTGGTCAATATTGACATAGCAGACAGCCACATTCCGAGTGACCTGACGACCTCAACAACGCAATCATCACTCCTCAACACTATCACCAGGGCACCAGACATATTCCCCGCAGGTATGGCCAAGTTTCTGCACCCTCATTAAGACCTCTTATGTAAGATAATGGCATTAAAGCCAACCGTCAAGTTGATGGACTCAAAACATTAAAGATAACGAGGGATGTTTATGTGTCAGCCTGTATGTTTCTACTTCATGTGAGCACGTTGAATTTATGTTTGTAGCATTCTGTAGTACAGTAATGTTAGAATAAGTTTAAAAATCTCTGATAAATATATATGTTATTTTAAAACAATTTACCACTTACAGAGCATGTCAAACACAATGGACAGAGAGAGAAAACAGAACTGGTTTGTTTAATTGCACTGACTGAATACTTGTTATCAGCTACAGTATGTGCATTATGGTTGATGGATAAGGTATATAAACTAATCTCCTGATATGTCTTTACAGTCATAAAGTCATCACCATAAATTAAAACTCATCCACTGACACTAGGAGATACAGAAATTACATCACTTGGAAGTTGTCATAGAAACTTAAATAGGATTCAAACCAGAGGGTGTTACTCTGTAAGCCCCAGGGTTACAGCACCTCATTACCTCGACCTTGACCTTGCAGATACTGAGATATAACAAGATATTGACAATCAAACTACAGAAGTGAATGCTGTAGTATTAATGGTACTTTGGATTCACTTTTGTAATATATATTTTGTAGGAAAAATGAAAAGAAGTTTTGATTTGGTATTGTGAAAATTTTGAAAGGGCTTTATTTAAAGATCAGTACTTATATATGTGCACAACTGCCTTAAGAATTACTAATTTCTCAGAAATAATTATTTTGGTTTTGGCATCTCTGCTACAAAAATTATTACAACCAAGATATTGTACACACCTTGTGAATGTATTTTTGTCTTGCACACAGGTATAAAAGACATATTTTTACCTTTATCACAACATACTCTTATTTAACACACAGAGAAGACATTCCATATCGATTATCACTGATACTATCATTACAATTTTCCTATTTCCAGATGATGCAAAACAGCCTGGCAGGAAAGGTGACCTGACTGTCGATAAAGGAGGTGACTCGAAGGAGAAGGGTGAGGACGGGGACACACCGAACACTACAGTGCAATGTAATAACCACACAGTGCGAGTGCCGGGTGCTATTGTACCCTCCACCAGTATGGAGCGTGCAGCAAGTGGCATGGTGGTCGACTGGTTCAACACCTTCTACTTCTTAAGGGGTAAACATTACCATACAAATATTGCCTTAAATTTGTGCAGTTAGGTTTATTACCATCTATGATAATTTTCATTGACTTTAAAATTAATTACACTTTCACATAACCTCTTAAATAAACAAAACCACAATGGAATGGAGGAACAAGCTCTGCCGGTGTAAATCAGTTCTCTTTCCTGATCAGTTAAGAATTTGGGAATAACACATCAATAAATGTAACTGTCTGTAAATTTAAGCATTTCAACCACATGGTTGAAGGGAGATAAATCTTTGTAAATATATTTAACAAAATGATTCTTTATGAATTCTTTACCGTGTGTTTTGTATTTCAGAGAACCATGAGAAAGCTGTGCTGTATCTAGTCCTTGGGGTTTGTTTTGGAATCATCAGCCTCCTTTTAATAGTGGTAATCAAGCTAATGATAAACAATCGACGTAAAAAGAGGGTGAAATTGGACATTACAGACCCAACACACAGTCATTTTTTACCTCCGCCAAATCATTTGGACACTCCTACACTGTCACGGGCAGATTCCATAGACAGGATTGAGATTGTGAGATTTGAACCACGATCCACACTTCGTAGGGATAGAGACGCAACACTTAGGAGGGACTTTGAGTCACACATTCCTCTAAGAACTGACTTTGAGGCAGAGGACACATTAAGGAGTGATCCTGGGGACCGTAGCTTAAATAATTACTATGGCTGAGTGTAGCGTGTAATGTGATTGGTTGCAATTGTAAAAGTGAAACATGTTCTGTGACTGTCTACCACAAAACAGAAAGGCAGACCCAGCCCTGCTATCCTTTAAATGGATGTATTAGGTGTTGTGGTTTGTCAAAAGCTTGTGGTATTCCTGTCACTTAGTACCGATGCTGTGATTGGCTGAATGGAATATAAGCTTGTTTGTGATTGGCTGATACACGTATAACCTTGGAACCTGTGATTGGCTGATGACTTCAATCAGTCATTTAAGCATTTTGGTGATATGATTTCCAGTGTTATTCCAGGAAAGTGATTCCTATTTGGTGCTTTAATACATGTAAATGTCTGGTGAAGTCTGATGGAGAAGAGTCATTGAGCACAGAGGAATGGCATAAATGTAGAGAAAATGACGAGGTACAGCTTAATACCAAGTAACGGATACCGCCACCGCAGCGGTATATGAATGAGAAATATATGTTCTCCAAACTATTAGGCACTCTGGAACAAAAACAAAGAAACAAAATTAGAGTCAGGGTATACAAAATTCTTTTTGAAAGGAGCACTGTTCAGTGGTGACTTTGATCCTTTAAAGAAATCCCACCACCAATATAAAGGAAAAGAAAGAAAATATTCTGTTGCTTTTTAGAAACTTTGTAAACAAGTTTTGAAATCTACCTTTTTCTTTAGTCTAAATAATGAAAAAAATATTTGTTTATGAAATATCACTTATAATAGTATGAATGTAGAGAAACAGATTGACATTGAGTAACCATTGTGTGGCCAGGATATCAACAAGTATCTAGTGCTGTGGTTGATTTCATTCAAGGTACCTATTCAACCTACTGAGGCAGTGTTTTACATGATACAGTGTAACCCTGATTGTGCTGGATAAAGAAGTAGTTTGGTATTTCATAAGAATATAACCACAAACTAGCAAAAACAGTATTTTACTTATTATGACTTTCGTGATTGAGAAGTTAAGTATTGAATGGCTTGTTAAGATAGAAAATCCAGAACAAGGATGGAAATCTCTGTTACTGCATTCCTCTAATAACAATAGCAATAAAATCAGGTTACTAGGCTTCAGAGCAATTTTCAACAAACTTTAACAAGTATTTAAGGAGGAATTTACTTTTGTTTTCTCTTCAGAACACTTGTTTAAACTCCTTCCAGTATTTAAATACCACCAGTAAAATTTCTTGTGTAAGATTTTGCCATTTGTGAAGACAACAATTTGTGCAATAACAATCAAATATGTTATTTAAGTTATTGTAAAATATTAGTACAGGTACAACTAGAAGGATTTTGTCATAACATAGGGCATACCAAGTGTTGCTTCCCTCCCTTGTAGCATTTGTTGTATTTTTACTGTTATATTTCCTTATTTTTACATCTAGTTAAGTACGCAATAGTATTGAACAAAATGGCAAACAGTAGGAAAATTATACAATATGTGAGGGGAGATAACTCTTTTAGAAGATAAGCTTACATTAAATTGTACCATACCAAACGTGATATTATTGCTTGTACCTATGATTTTTGCTTGAATGTTATGTTTATTGTTAGAAATGAATTTTTACATTTTTTCAAAAAGTGTATAATCCCTTTTAGCACCATCTTGTTTTTCTGTTACTGTCTACACTTGTACACGAACATCTTCCATTGATATCAAAACATTTTATCATTTACATTTTTTTTTTTAACATTTTTTTTCCGGTTTATGTTGACAAACAGCTGATGATGTCATATATCATAATAATGTGTTTCAACACTGCATCATTGAATTGATTTGAATCTCGTACCCTACAGTAGATGATCCAGACTATCTGATGTTAATTTCGACACAATTCTTACAACATCATGTTTATAGTGCTTATGTAAATATTTTCATAATTCTGTTATAAATGGCCCTTTACCAAAGGTTAAAATCGTTTTTTTTTAAAACAAAATTTGGATTTACATGTACATAACTGTTGTTTGATCCCCTGTGCATTTTTATTAGGATTTTTATAAGATGACATAAAGAAATGATTAACCCTTCCCTGTCTGTACGTTTACAGCACCATTTAGTTGCTTCATGAAATACCACGTAAAATTTTGAATTTTGCTTTAAACCAAACATGTGTTTGAATTTTAAATACATGTATCACTGCGACAAGCAGCTACTAACCAACTTTAAACTTAACTACAGTAGCTAGGAAAAGTTCAAATTATGAAATCTTCTTTGTGGAGAAGATTGGTTTGATTATCTTTCCCAACTAGTATTACAGCTGCTTGATGCTTTAATTTAATTGAAGTTCTCCTGTTATGAGCTAATGATTTCTGTACAATGTATATTATATCATTCCACTGAAAACTAGACAATAAAAAGCAGTGTTTTTCAAGTTACATTAATCACTATTTGTTGACCTTAATGAACAGATATGGAATCGTAATGTGGGAGGAAATCAGAGTACTGAAGAAACCTCACGGCTGTCTTGGCGTAAGGCATGTGCACTACCTGTCTACTGACCTCCTAAAACTATATCAAGGTCAATAGTTCTACACCTACTTATTGATCAACTTTTATCTAAGTAACTTAAGTAATTTATTTTTTTAAAGTGCTTATTTTTAGGCATACAGTTTTGAAATCACTTTTAAATTATTTTACATTTTTAAACTAAATGTGAATTAATTTTAAATCTGGTATTTTTTAATTTCCAACTTCTATTTGTAAACAACTCACATTAAAGGAGAAGTTGAGGCTGTACCAAATTACTATTTACTTATCTTGACTTTTTACATAATTGATCTACATGTTTAGTCTGTATTTTAAATCAAATTATTTGAAACATTTTGTAAAGAGCTATACATTTTAACACTTTGGTGTGATACTATTTTTAACACATTGGTGTGCTTATTATGGATCAGTGAATTTTATTAATTTTAGTTGTATTTCAGCAAAGCAGGTAGCAATTCTGTGGCATGTTGTATAACATTGTCTATTAATTCAGTGACCACCTTATATGAAGTTAAAAGCAAATACCTAGTACCTGGTAGAGAGGAAACGAATTATCTATTGATAGTCTTGTATAAAGATTTGTCTCCCTTGAATTTTCTTTGGTTGTAAAATTAAAGGAAGGTAAGAAATCAAGTCATTAGATAACTCAATTTGAACATCTTATAATGAGATGAAAATTTAAAAAAGGGAAAATGAAAAAGCAAACTCCTTAAGGTAGAATTCAATATCCACCTTGCCTACTTAATGTTAAAGTTGTTTTCTCCCACCTCTTACATAGGATTTTGGTAAAAATTAACATGGACAATGTAAATGCAACAGTAACATACAAGTTAACCTGGAACATATTTTGGAAAAGTAGCAAAAGGTACGGTTTACCAAAGAGCATTCTTAAGGTATCCTTTAGAAATCAAGGATGTCTGCAACAGCCTACAACTGAAGCCTGTTGAATATTTTTTATGTGCAGCTGTGGCCTGTATTTTGGGAGTAGATATTATTTCTGCTGATAAAAATGACAATAATGTCTTGTATCACATTGAAATGACTTCACATTTCAGAATACCAGCCAACAAAAAACTGCACATTTTGAACCCAGACATTATGTATGCATTACCAATACCTAATTGGATTATTGGTTCTGAAATATTTTTTTGGATAGTTCATAAAAGACACATTTTAACTTAGTGTTACCCACACGGAATATGTGCGTATTGTCACTATAGAGGTGGGAGAAAACTGGTGTTGCTTACCTTCTGTGTTGGCATGGTAACAGATGAGTAAATTTATAGTAATTTTTAGATAATTTTGAGTGATGAAGTAGAAAGGTTTTAGGTAAATTACAATCAGTCTAGTCATAAAAGTATATATACTTGTTGATTCAACTCATTTTCCAATTATATTATTCTGTCAATCTGATTAATATACTTAACTTTTATATTGCTTTGTTATGTATTTCTATAAGATTGATTATTTTGTGAGTCAACAAATCAAATATTTTACCTGTAAAAAGTTGTATATATTATCACGCCTTGATATCCATGTGTATACATTTTCATTAAGTCATTTAATTTATATTCATATTATATGATGCAATATTTGTCCATTTCATTTCCTTAGGTTAAGAATAGATACACAAACTATATATAGGTCTATAAGGGACTAAGATAGGTGTTTGGTAGGACCTGTAGCTTCTCCTTAGGGATGGCAGTTTCATCATTTTAATTTTAGTATTTGGCTGGTGCTTCAAATTAGTTGCCTCCCCTTATTTGGTTGGCTCATATTGAAGACAAAAACTCAGGTGATCAGATCAGTTCTACAGAATTATTTATTTATTCCATTATAGGTCCAAGTGTAAATACAGATCTGACCATTTAGCAAGACAAGTGTCAGTACATTTGTATAATTATGTATTTAACATATTTTCAATATTGAGAAAAAATGATACTGTTAGCCTAGTGTGTTCAAAATGGTTGCTTAATTGAAAACACATTTCTGCTGCTGATACAAATATACCTGATAACCTACAGGGTAAATGGCACTCAATCAGACTAAAATTTTATAAATTTATAAAGTTCATGTAAATTATCATATGTGTCATTGGAAGTTGTCCATGGTTAGTGTATTTGACATAAAAATAAGCACACTCTTGTAAAATATTATCAAGTAACAGTCCTGGTCGGCCGATGATCTGAACCTAAGTGTACAGGTAGACAGGTTCAACTCCTGACCTCCTGGATATATATCCGAGGTGTAATAATTAATTTCTATTCTTGTAAACATAACAATGTTTTGTAATGATATTGATCTGCTTACTTTAGTGCTGATGACACATCCTATACAACAAAATGTCAGTGTCTCACTCCCCACACATCACTATATTTAACCTTTATCAACCCAACATTCCATCAACCTGTCAAGATACATCTCATAAAACCTAGCTTCTGTTGAAAAGATAATAACCCTTTCTAATATATAAGAACCCATTTATTCTATGTCCTTCTACACCCTTGATCCTCTGACAAGTAACCCAGCCCACCCTCAGCCCAGCCCAGCCCAGCCTCCATCCCCTCTTCCATCTGAATCCCTTGGTGTCAGGATTGGGAAAATTGCCATGGCTGGTATTCCAACATGGTGCCTCTAAACTCTTCACAGATGCTCCATCTGAGTTGTTTGGTCAGGAGTGCTCTTTGAAGGAAGTCCAGTTTTGCTATACCTTGTCCACGTCGCTTTAGGCCCCTCCTCGTCCAGATGACTCCCCCGTCCCTCATCGAAGTCAGTATCCTGAAACCCCACATATACACATCACTTTACAACCTCAACTTTTATGAATGTGTTCCCATTTTCTCAGTAGAAGTGCATAAAAGTACACGGGTAATACATATATATACGTTGGTTAATCATAAAACTATGCATTAATTATCATTATCTTATATTAGATGTTACAAATCATACCTTGTCAACAATTTCTTTTCCGAAAGTCTTTTTTTTTTTACTTTTCGTTCTCTGCCAATCATGAATGATAATTTTGAATTCCACAATTTTTTAAAACAACAGGAAATCTTAGTGATTTTTTTTCTTCTCTATTGTATGACCAAAATCTTCACATATAATATCTGCAGGAATGCAGTAGAGAGGTTCCGAATGTTGGTAGAAATATGTGAATATCACTTTTTGTACAAATCATATCAGACTGAATGATAACCAACAAATGTACACAAGTATCAAATGTCTTCTTCTCTTTTTACAAAAACAATATGAATGTTGTAAAAGTATGTTTGTATTGTAGAGTTGTCCGTTGAATATAGTTTACATTGTAAAACTACGCTATTATACAATATCAAAATACAGTACAATTAAAATGGGGGAAAATATTATTGATTGTTGTTGAGTTCTTTGTTTTGCCTTCAGTTAAACAGAAATCATTTCACGTTACACCAAGCACAGGTTAATCGTGCCGCGAGAAACATTCAACACATATTAAGCCCAAACCTTGTTGATAGGGAGTGCTTCTAAGTTTGGGAAAATACGTAACCTTGACTTATATTCAAAGTTACCTAGTCAACAGTGTCGGCTGAAGAACAACGGCCTTAGAATCATGATAAGTAGCTTTGCTGGTATCCAGTACTACAGAGTTTGTGAAAAGAAAGGACCTTGACCTATATTCAGGATCAAAGACATCAAAACTCTCAAATGACTTCTTCTGAAGAACCAAGAGACCTAGAGTCAAGCATGCAGCTTTCTGGATTGGATTACAAAAATGTTAAACATCTGAAAAACTATTAAGGCCTATATAGAGTCATAACATTTAGCCAGAGGCTTGCTAAAATACAGTGCTAGGGAATTTGTGAAAAGAAAGGCCACTTCAAACAGGTGAGCATCCTTGGAGACTCTTGTTACTGAATACAGCATACTGTTGACTCCAATCTACTCACCGTTCTTTACCTAGCAACTTCCAGCTGAATCACTAAATCATTGAAAATTCTGATTTACAGTCCAGCTTTATCATCGAACCATCTGTCCCAATATCAGGCCTGTTATCGAGGACAGACTGGCATTTCTATATAAAATGTTTAATGTATTCTGGCTCTCTCGCATTACAGCCATTTCTGTTGAAGGTGGCTGGATTTTATAAGGATTATGATGTATTAGTGCTCCTAAATTCACTTAATATTTTCCTAAATTAACACGATTTTGGTACAGTACCTAGTTCAAAACAAACGCACAAATATTGATTTATATTTTTAATTCGCATCCATTCCTACATTCAGCAAACTATACACATATATACTTCTTTCTTGACTGATTTACAATGAAAATGATAATGATTTGGAATAGTATACAAATTTTATGTATAAAAATTCAATAAAATATTTTTCACTTTGTGGTTGTATGTACAGTATCTATCAGAGACAGAAATGTGAGAATTGTAACAAATCCATTCACACGGCATTCTATTTTATAAATATGGTTATAATGGACGGAATGTTGGCATTGTACAGACATTCTAAAAACAGTGATGGATCTTGGACATTAAAAAGAAATTAGTCCAAATTTGGATGCTTCGTTGGTTAAGACAAACAGCTTGCTTAAAACAATTCTTCTCTTGACTAATAAAATTGTACATGTTCTGAATATTTTCAGTTTCAAAAATTTCTCATTTAATCCTCAAAATAAGTATGGTTGCATACATATCAAAATATTATTGGCAATCACTACACATTTTACATCAATATTATATATTGGTATGATCCAGCTCATCAATATTTATTGGTATAGTAATAGAAATTTCCATAAATATATACATAGAAAAATGTATAAATTTACACGATTAAAATGCTGAATTTAACAGAACACATCAGATTTGATACATGAAACATATGTATGGTGAAAATAAACATTTCAATAAATACACAACAAATTGGTGTTACCATCTCTGCCCATTCACTACTGTAATGAAACGATCTTTGCTCAACAGCAATGACATGTACGGTAAAATCAGGTAGCTCAGGGACATAATGCATTGGTAATGTGGTCATAATTGAAAAATGACTTCTCAGAGAGTACCAGGTACCTGTCACAGAGTACATCACACAGAGTACCAGGTACCTGTTGCAGAGTACATCACACAGAGTACCAGGTACCTGTCACAGAGTACATCACTCAGAGTACCAGGTACATAGAGTACATCAAAATAAGCCCAAGGTACCTGTCACAGAGGACATCACACAGAGTAACAGGTACCTGTCATAGAGTACATCACACAGAGTACCAGGTACCTGTCATGGAGTACATCACACAGAGTACCAGGTACCTAGAGTACATCACACAGAGTACCAGGTACCTGTCATAGAGTACATCACACAGAGCACAAGGTACCTGTCACAGAGTACATCACACAGAGTACCAGGTACCTGTCATAGAGTACATCACACAGAGTACCAGGTACCTGTCACAGAGTACATCACACAGAGCACAAGGTACCTGTCACAGAGTACATCACACAGAGTACCAGGTACCTAGAGTACATCACACAGAGTACCAGGTACCTGTCACAGAGTACATTACACAGAGTACCAGGTACCTGTCACAGAGTACATCACACAGAGTTCCAGGTACCTGTCACAGAGTACATCACACAGAGCACAAGGTACCTATCATATGTGTAGATTATACACACTGTCACAAAGAAGGAACTGAAACTAAACTGATCCTTTCAATAAATCCAGTATTTTCTTCATCATGAGAAATCTTCAATCAATTTAATCTTTTTTAAGTTAACAAATCCACTGTTAGTTTAAACAACTTTTTGTAATATCTGAAAATATTTAAAAATATTTTTACATTCATTTTATTTTCCTTGAAATACAGGTCATCAGATCTTTCCATAAATTAGTTTTGTTCAATTTGCATTTAAAAAGAAATATGTTGTGATATTTATCACCGAGGGCCACCCCATTTGATATCTCGGACCCCGTTTAAGTTCCGCTTCAGAGCACCATTGTCTGCCCACTCCTGATCCATGTAAGCATCTTCTGATTCAGCTTGTAATTTCTGAAAAGATGAAAAAGGAAAATTGTCTCTTCTGCTTGTAAAGTAAAATTAGAATGAGAACATTTTAAATATCACATCATTTTACAATAAATGGAACAAATTTACCCCTCAAATAGTAGTATCTTCATAGTCAATCTTTTGAGGGATCATGCAATACAAAATTAGACTACAATTTATTACTTGTATACTGTTTAATTGTCTATGGACTGACCCCTGTTTGAGGGACTTTTACATTGAAAAAGTTTTTAGCTCATCTGGCCCGAAGGGCCAAGTGAGCTTATGCCGTGGTGCTGCGTCCGTCGTCAATATTTTACTTTAAACAACTTCTTCTTAATAACCAAAAGACCTAGGGTGATGAAATTTGGCCAGAAGCAAACTGGGCTGAAGGGCTACCAAGTTTGTTCAAATAAATGACCTTCGCCAATTTTCAAGGTCACAGGGGTCAAACATGTAAAAACTTTAAACAACTTTTTCTGAATTCTGGGTAACCAAAATGCCCAGGATGTTGATATTTAGTCAGTATCAGACTAGAATGAAGGGCTACCAGTTTTGTTTAAATGAATGACCTTGACTTATATTTAAGGTTACAGTTGTCAAATGTTTGAAAATTTTAAATGACTTCTGAATAACAAAAAGTCCTAGAATGATGATATTTAGCCAATAGCAAGATGGAATTTAGGGCTACCAAGTTTCTTCAAATAAATGACCTTGAAATATATTCAAGGTCACAGGGGTCAAATTTGTTAAAATCTTTCAACAACTTCTTCTGAAAAACCATAAGGCCTAGAATGTTGATATCTGGTAAGTATTATGCTGGGATCAAGGGCTACCAAGTTTGTTAAATCGAATGACCTGGACTTATTTGTTTAAAACCTTTTAACGACTTCTTCTGAATAACCATCAGTCCCAGAATGTTGATATTTAGCCATGGTCAGTAGCATGCTCGGATGAAGGGCTATCAAAATTTTTCATGTGAATGACCTTGACCCACTTTCAAGGTTACATTTTGTCAAATATGTATACATTTAAATTACCTAATTTTATAAAAAAAAATGATAGGGTGGTGATATTTTGCAAGTTGCATCCTGAGATGAAGGGCTATAAAATTTGTTCAACATAATAGCCTTGTTCGACATTCAAGGTCAAATGGGTGAAATGTTATTAAATCTTTGAACAGGTTCTTTTGAATGACTTTTAATCATAAATACTGATATTTTGCCTGTAGATTTGCTTTAGATCACTTTTAAGGTTACAAGTGTGAGATTTATTCCAGGTGAGCGATGCAGGCCCATTGGGCCTCTTGTTTTGTATGGTGGACACTTTCATTGCCTACATTGACAAATACATCACTGTTTGAGGGACCCTACATTGACAAATACATCATTGTTTGAGGGACCCTACATTGACAAATACATCATTGTTTGAGGGACCCTACATTGACAAATACATCATTGCTTTATGAGATCGATGATTATTTTAACAGATCAAATTTCAAGACAAGAGAGCCAATATTCAAACATTTCATTCTTTTATTATGTTAACTTCATTCATTTTATTTTGACATAAAAAGATTTCCTTACCTTGTATTCCTCCTGTTTTTTGTAGTAGTAAGCCATCATCTTTTTCTGCTCCTCCTCATTGACAACCTGCTCTCTCTGGGGCACACCCTGGCCTCTCTGGAATCAACAACCATATACATGGATATTAAGATCTTATTTTTTTTCCATCTTTAACTTATGTTCAGTGGAAGTAATCTAACATTTTCAGTGACTCAACACCTTCTACTATTCAAATGAATGCTTACAATATAAATGACAGTGAAGAAGTAGTCACAAGTACGTGGAGGTTTTACCTTTTGCAGCTTGGCTATTATCTTCGTTTTCTCATTTTTGCCAACAAAATCCTTCAAAAGTTTGCCTCTCAACATCTCCTTGCCAGAGAACCATACTGATGTGTTGTCTTCAGGTAACACTTCAGTGGAAGCCTAAATAAGTAAACATGATGGTCAAGTCAATTGTTTGAGGATTTCAGTATCATCAACTTTCACCAATAATATCTTGTATCTGTTCAAATGTAGACAATGACATTCTCCCTGGAGTTGTTAAGTGAATGATACAGCTTACCTGAGTTCCTTCTAAGTCCTCATTGTTTTCAAACTCCATGCGTATGTTGTCGTGGGGAGGCAGGTTCATGGGATATACAATCATTGATGCTCCACGCAGGATGTCCAGGGCTTCCTTCACAGTGGCCTGGGTCACATACTGGTCCATTGGAACTTTTTTCTGAAAAATTACTCCTACAACTTATTTCTTCCACATGCAGAAAAAAACTCCTTGATTGAAAATATAAAGTAAATAAGTAAATAAAGTGGTGTGAAGATTTGGTTTAACTTTTAACTTAGCCTTTGTCATAGAATAATATATATATACTGACCAAGAATCATTGGAATCTGATCATATTCAACCAACCAGAACACAGTATGCTAATTAATTATGTACAGATTTTGCTCAATTTCAAACTTAACTTTACTTTGGAGAATGTACATGATTACAAAGTTTCATCAAAATCGAATGATATTTAAGCAAGTTATCTCAAGAAAAGTGTGGATGGTATATTTAAGGAAGTTATCTCGAGGAAAGTGTGGATGGTATATATTTAAGCAAGTTATCTCGAGAAAAGTGTGGATGGTATATTTAAGCAAGTTATCTCGAGAAAAGTGTGGATGTTGACCAATCAGATTGTAGTATGCTAATTAATAAGTGCATATTTTGCTCATCTTCAAACTTAGCATAGAATATTCTCTTCAAGCTTATCCATGTGAAAAAAATGCATCTTGATGTTTTAATGTATCACATTGGTCAAAATACTAAATACAATGTACAGATCATACAAACAAAAGGGGAGATAATTTAGATTCATACACAAAATGTTAATGAACATGATATATCACACTATCTCCTACTTCTATGCTTCAAATACCTTGCTGATCATGTCTTTTGCTTCTTTTACTGTTTTTGTCAAAACTTCAGCCATCTTTTCATTTGGAGCTGTGGACAAAACAAAATTGCTGTATATTGCCTGTGATTTTTCAACAGTTCTACTCAACAGTATGATTTCAATATCATTTAGCAAATAAATTCAGCAAATCCTTCACACTTAACTCCTTAAACAGGTCACTAAACACTGTCACGTCTCTCTAGCATCTCTGATTAATTCAGAGGAATAATGAGTAACCTGCTGGACCTTGTCATCAACCAACAACCTATCTACCACAGGACCTTGTCATCAACCAACAACCTATCTACCACAGGACCTTGTCATCAATCAACAACTTATCTACCACAGGACCTTGTCATCAACCAACAACCTATCTACCACAGGACCTTGTCATCAACCAACAACCTATCTACCACAGGACCTTGTCATCAACCAACAACCTATCTACCACAGGACCTTGTCATCAACCAACAACCTATCTACCACAGGACCTTGTCATCAACCAACAACCTATCTACCACAGGACCTTGTCATCAACCAACAACCTATCTACCACAGGACCTTGTCATCAACCAACAACCTATCTACCACAGGACCTTGTCATCAACCAACAACCTATCTACCACAGGACCTTGTCATCAACCAACAACCTATCTACCACAGGACCTTGTCATCAACCAACAACCTATCTACCACAGGACCTTGTCATCAACCAACAACCTATCTACCACAGGACCTTGTCATCAACCAACAACCTATCTACCACAGGACCTTGTCATCAACCAACAACCTATCTACCACAGGACCTTGTCATCAACCAACAACCTATCTACCACAGGACCTTGTCATCAACCAACAACCTATCTACCACAGGACCTTGTCATCAACCAACAACCTATCTACCACAGGACCTTGTCATCAACCAACAACCTATCTACCACAGGACCTTGTCATCAACCAACAACCTATCTACCACAGGACCTTGTCATCAACCAACAACCTATCTACCACAGGACCTTGTCATCAACCAACAACCTATCTACCACAGGACCTTGTCATCAACCAACAACCTATCTACCACAGGACCTTGTCATCAACCAACAACCTATCTACCACAGGACCTTGTCATCAACCAACAACCTATCTACCACAGGACCTTGTCATCAACCAACAACCTATCTACCACAGGACCTTGTCATCAACCAACAACCTATCTACCACAGGACCTTGTCATCAACCAACAACCTATCTACCACAGGACCTTGTCATCAACCAACAACCTATCTACCACAGGACCTTGTCATCAACCAACAACCTATCTACCACAGGACCTTGTCATCAACCAACAACCTATCTACCACAGGACCTTGTCATCAACCAACAACCTATCTACCACAGGACCTTGTCATCAACCAACAACCTATCTACCACAGGACCTTGTCATCAACCAACAACCTATCTACCACAGGACCTTGTCATCAACCAACAACCTATCTACCACAGGACCTTGTCATCAACCAACAACCTATCTACCACAGGACCTTGTCATCAACCAACAACCTATCTACCACAGGACCTTGTCATTGACCACAGGACCTTGTCATCACCCAACAACCTATCTACCACAGGACCTTGTCATCGACCAACAACCTACCACAGGACCTTATCAACCAACAACCTATCTACCACAGGACCTTGTCATCAAGCAACAACCTATCTACCACAGGACCTTGTCATCAGGACCTTTCGTTAGTTCATTGTGCATATTCCTAATAAATATGCATTCCATCTTGGTACAGTAGACACAGCCGTATCCACCTCTAGCACTGTTCATATTCCGGCTATGGCCATCTATAGTCTCAATTTAAAGTCCGTAAAAGTAAAGACATGAATTTTCTATCAAGATGTCTATCCAAGCATTTAAAAACAGGTCCTCAGCAGGTTAAGATGGACCCTAGTCTTACGGGCATTAGGCAACCCAGAAAACGTCTCTCCTACCATTAAAGTACAAGTGTCATTTCATTCCTTTGAATTTTCAATGTGAAACATATGTTTTACCAATTCCATTCTGCACATCAGAATTAAGTTTGTTCTACGATGGTCGATAACTTCCTTTTCTAAAGGACCAACATCTCTATCAGAACCTTCCCCAACTAATTGAGAATCTAGCTCAGTCATGTGGCCAGAAGTACGAGGTATATAGATCTCCTAAATAGAGTCTTACGAACATCTACTGGTGTCTGTTGTTCCTGTATCCAATTTGCCCCTGCAGGTAGGGCGTAAGAATTGTACCTGCTGCCCCCAATTGCATGATCGTAAGAGGCGACTAAATTTGGGACCTTATCTCTTCTCTCCTTTCTGAATAACCTTATTCTTCCTAATGTCTCCCTTGACAATGCCTCCCTTTTGGCCATTTGTTGAGCGTTCGCCCCTGTGAGGAAGGCTTTGGGTTCTGTCCCCTGGCCGAGACATACCAAAGTCTTTAAAAATGGTAGTTTAAACTCCTGCTTAACGCTCAGCCAATTAGGAGTGGGACGACTGGTTCGCCCGTTGTCAGTATAATGTGACCAGGTGGGGCGTCCTGCTGGGTGTCTTCAGCAGTATGTTTCAGTGAGGTGGCACTACAAACTCGGCATCAGTTCCGCGCTATCACAAGGAGACAAACACGAACATATCGCAGCCTCCCAAAATACACTACACGCATGCATCTTGCACACAGGGGAGGCCGTCCTTAAATGACCTTAGCTGTTAATAGGACGTTAAACAAAATCAAACAAACAAACAATCCAATTACAATGATGAGATGGGGAATCTCTAAATGAAACTGTCATCAAAATCCCCTAGCTCAAAGGTATCCTTGTTATAAGGAGCAGAGATAACAGGGTTACAATGGGCTTACAAGTCCCAATCCCTTACCATACTACTGATATCTTTTCTTTTAGCGTAATTAGTTCGGCCTGAATGATATTCATTATCTCTACGAATCTGATTTAGATCCCTCGAGTCTTACTTGTTGATCTAATTACTAAGTGCTGAGTGACTCTGAGAATGTTATTATGTCATGTATCACACTCTCCTCATTAATAGAGAGGGTTTAATGTACTTTACCAGGACCTTCTTCATCTGCAGTCATTAATGCTACATGTTAGATTTTTCATGCCCAGCAATTTAATGTATGGTTATGGGTTGGGGATCTCAACTGTTTCCAAGCTGTGACTCAGGAACTAGGTCCCTAGGAGATGTGGCCAGACCCCAGGATCAATTCTAATATCATGACTGCATTCGTCTCTTTATGCCCAGCATTTGTATTTATAGTTTTGGGGTGGGGTCTCAACCGTTTCAAAGTTATGACCCACAGGTTAAGTCTGCAAGGGTGGGGCAGACCCTGGGGTCTATTTTAATATCATGACTGCATTCGTCTCTTTATGCCCAACACTTGTATATATATAGTTTTGGGGTAGGGATCTTCACCGTTTGGAAGTTATGACCCAGGGGTTAAGTCTCCAAGGGTGGGGCAAACCGAGGTCATCCTGGAAGCGAATGTGCATTCATCTCTTTATACTCAGCAATTGTATATATGGTTATACGGTGGGGATCTCAACTGTTTCAAAGCTGTGACTAAGAAACTAGGTCCCTAGGGGTTCGGTCAGACCCCAGGGTCTATTCTAATATCATGACTGCATTCATCTTGTTATGCCCAGCATTTGTATATATAGTTTTGGGGTGGGGATCTCAACCGTTTGAAGTGATGACCCAGGGGCTATGTCTCCAAGGGTGGGGCCAGACCCCAGGGCCATCCTGGAAGCAAATGTACATTCTTCTCTTTATACTCCACAATTGGATACAGTGGGGATCTCAACCATTTCCAAGTAATACATTTTTTTTTGCCCCACCCCTTAGCCCGGGGGGTCAGCCCCACCATTTGTACAATTTGAATCCCCACCATCTAGGGATGCTTCCAGTCAAATATGGTTGATATTCATCTCTAAGTTCCAGTGAAGAAGTCGCTTAAAGAAATACAGCCAAATAACCCTTTTTGGCCCCGCCCCTCAGCCCCCCTGGGAAGTCAAGCCACACCTTTTGTACAATTTTGGATCCCTGCCTCCCATGAATGCTTTTGATCAAATATATTTGGTATCCAGAACATAGTTCTACAGAAGTCGTTTATAGCAATATAGCCAAATTGCCCTCTTTTTGTCAATCCCCTCAGCCCCCTGGGGGGTCAGCCCCACCATTTGTACAATTTTGAATCCCCACCACTTAGGGATGCTTCCATTCAAATTTAGTCAAGTTCCAATCAGTGGTTAAGAAGAAGAAGTCATTTGAAGAAATTGTTGACGTACGGACGATGGACGCCCACGGTATTGCATAAGCTCACCTTGGTCCTTCGGACCCGGTGAGATAACAAAGCAGAGCAATAATCCATTTTGAAAGGAAATGCCCACTTTTGAAACCTTTAATGAAGTGAGCAGTGTATACCGGTATGTACAATCTAGTAATAGTCAGCAGTGTATACCTGTATGTACAATCTAGTACTAGTCAGCAGTGTATACCGGTATGTACAATCTAGTACTAGTCAGCAGTGTATACCGGTATGTACAATCTAGTACTAGTCAGCAGTGTATACCGGTATGTACAATCTAGTACTAGTCAGCAGTGTATACCGGTATGTACAATCTAGTACTAGTCAGCAGTGTATACCGGTATGTACAATCTAGTACTAGTCAGCAGTGTATACCGGTATGTACAATCTAGTACTAGTCAGCAGTGTATACCGGTATGTACAATCTAGTACTAGTCAGCAGTGTATACCGGTATGTACAATCTAGTACTAGTCAGCAGTGTATACCGGTATGTACAATCTAGTACTAGTCAGCAGTGTATACCGGTATGTACAATCTAGTACTAGTCAGCAGTGTATACCGGTATGTACAATCTAGTACTAGTCATGAGTGTATACCGATTTGTACAATCTAGTACTAGTCATGACTTACCCATTCCATTTCTGCGGCCAATTGGATCCTTGTTGAACTTGTGGCCCCCACTAGGTTCACATTTATCTGCCCATTCATCCTTCAGTTTGAGATCCACAATCTGATCATCTGTCAGGCCCATCATGTTTGGGGGCAGGGTTATACCATGCTTAGCCAATTCCTCAATTTCTAAACAAATAGTGAACAAATACTTTACTTCTGGTTTATAAATAAGTGATCTTACGACTTTAACAAATTGATCAATTTGAGCATAATTCCCACACAAATTTAATTAAACATATATATGTATACTGTCAGTATACAAGGAAACATTCCAAGTCACCTTCACTGGTAAAATCAAAAATTGAAAAATGGCAAAAAGACTTTAGCCCTTCACATGTAGTAGACTTTACTATGTGGACTATATTATGTGTATATATTCATTCATAATAAATTTGCTTTCATTACAGAGAGCAGAAAATGGTGAAAATTACCCTACAAAGAAACAAGAAACAGCATACAATATTCACATTAACATATGCGAATTCTTTTTCAGAAATATAGTTTGCCACTATCATACAAATGACATATAAATAAACAAAACAAAACAAATTTACATCTGTTATTTTGCTGCAAAACACTCATTCAGAGAATGTTTGCACTGAGGGAAAGAAATCTTCCATACCGATAGCTGGGCCAAGAGAAAATTATTTCAAGGCTAGTGAAAATTGTTGGTCACTAGACTGATCATGAGGCTATATATAGTGTTGTCAGCTTTGTTCAAGTTATTTGTTACTGTTGAAATAGCATCAGCAATCATGTTTAACAACACAATCCAGCCTGCAATCCTTTCTGAATTTTATAACTCTACCAATCCCATACATCATAGAGGATTTAGATATATGTTAGGGTTCCTGTACCACTGTCAAAAACTGTGACATGAATTGGAAACAGTTTTTTACCATCATGACTTTAGCTTGCTAAATCATTTCTGAAAAGACAAGCCATTTGGATAGATATGTCATGCCTGTGCCTCACTTTGAACATCAATACACATGTCAAGTTTGGTTGGTGTAGCAGTTACAGTTTCAGAGAAACTAACTTAAATGCAAAAACTTAATGTTGATGGAGATGCTGACAAAGTCAATGGACCATGAAAGGTAGGCGGCATCCATTTGATGCATGGGTTGAGATGGACTACCTTAGATGCATCTATGGTCCAAGTTTGGTTGGGTTAGCACTTATACTTTCAGTGAAACTAACTGAAACTCAAAAATTTAATGTTGACACCTTAGTCTCGCTTCCGCTACTGTGAACCCAAGTGTACTGATAGTAAAAATTCAGTGGGGCTACACTGGGATCGGAACCTATGCCTCAAACCGTCATTCTGATTGAGGGAAGTGTCTGGACCAAACTGTACTACAGTATCATGGTTAAAGGGTTTAAACACACTTTATATCGAAACAGAAGTAAAGGGTAGGTCACTGTGTATAAGGTAACTACAAAAAGACTGCCTTGATCAATCATCTTCATTCAAAATTGAAACAAACCTCACTGTGACACATTACAACAATATTTCTTTTGTTGTTAAATCCTAAAAATGTTGGGGTTTGTAACTTTTATTTGGGGGGTTTTCATGGTTTTCAGTATTCATTAGTCTTAAAAGATAGTACGGTAAGTTATTTAACTATAAACTGAAACTTTGTTTTTTCTTGATAACAAACCTGCACAGATTCTGTGGACCTTGAGTCGACCATTGTAAATGGCTGTCAAATCCTTCAGCAAGTCATCCACCGGCATCTCAACTGTGGTCTCATACAGGAACTGACTCTCGTCGGCTCTTTTGATGTGTAACTTCACCATGTTTGGCAATCTTGTGGAAAACAATAGAAACGGAAATACATACATTGTACTAGTGAATATAACAATGATTTTTTTCCGTTTTTTTTTTTTTTTTTTTTTAAATTTAAAACTAACCAGAAACAGAAATTTCTCCTATGGAGAACATCCTTTATCAATGATAAGAAAATGACAGTTTCAACACATACACCTACAATTCTATAAACTGAAACCCCTTTCACCATTTTTAATTACATTTTGTATTTTGAGATTGGCATATACCTGGTACTTGAAAGAGTGAGATGCAACTTGATCTCAAATTGCTAGGGAAAATAAAACAGAATCAGAATACAAACGAATACTAGAATTTAGAACTACTGTGTTATTTTTCTGTCTTTTCTGATTAAAAATCAGTGAAAAAGGTATCACATAAATGCAACACTGTCATGCATGAAATTGAAGGAAAATTTGTTCAGACATTACTTTACTATGACATCGCAATAATGTTATACTAAATTGACCTTCTCAGAAACACAAAAAATGACCAGAAAACGTAGAGCTGATGTCTGTTGTATCATCTTTGTGTCTGTTCAGTGAAAATAATCGTTTTTATCATAGGCTCAAAAAAGTAAAAATGTGAATAGTTTCAAAAGCCTCATTTTGTTCTAAACCAGATTACGGTAAGATATCTACAAACAGATACCATCAGACTGTACATCTAAAATTAATGTTATTTCACTGTTTATGGAACAGTTATATGTATTGCTGATGCTGATATCTGTCCAAAATAGAACTCGTTATTTTATACATATAATTGATACTTTAAAATGATTAAAAGCTGAAGATCAATATACAGCAGTCAAGTATCCATAGCTCATATATACAGTATGTGTACATTTATTTAAAAAAAACTTACATGAATTATTTATACCTGCCTAACCAGTCAGATAAGAACCAGTTGATGAATTTAAATTCAAAATCAACATTTTATTCCAGACCACTAACACGAGTCCAAATGCCATTATCCAGCAAGGTTTTCACCCTGGTTTGTTTCTATTCACAGACAGAAAATGTTTGATTTCAGTCGACTTGTTTACCTGTGAAATGCCAGTCAGTATAAAAAAAATGATGATTAGCCTAAGTTTCACTTTGAAGTACAGGAATTTTGGCTAGAACATATCAATATAACTTTCTTCATATTGACGTTCCCTTTTTTCCATTTTGTTTTAAAACTGATTTCTTTATACATCTATATCAACATAAAGCCAAAATATTTCCAACTTATATTAATCATTCTTGTTGGCCCAGGTGGAAGCATGCAGAGGGTATAATTCTTAATATGACAGGAACTGGAGTATCACAAAAAAACAACACCACAAGCTTGGGCAGGTGACGGGGGAATTGAAACTGGCTGTTTTGGTGAATAGCAAGTATGCTATAACAGGGATAAAAAAGCTAAAATGCACCCCCAGACTGAGATTCGAACTAGGAACCCTCAGAACTCTAGATGGATGCTCTAACCAATTGATCAGCAAATAGGTCACCGATGATCGACCACGTCGATTCTGCAACATTCCTCCCTTCTAGTTCTACCATATAGTGACCACCTTCAACTAGGCCTAATTGAAGATTTTGTCACAAAGTTGGGTTTATGCAGCACAAATGATAAATCACTTAGTTAAAGTTAAGGGAAGGAAAATTTAGTTTGAGGAGAGTCCGAGAGAGAGGTCCGAGCAAGCCAGTGATTGGGCAGCCCCCATCAACAATTGTTTGGAAAAGGGGGTAAAGAAGAGATGTAGTAAATTATTATGTAAAGTCTGTTGAAGTAACTAATTATTCTGCATCTTCAATTTTATAGGTGTGCCTGGAAAGAGATGTTTTGAAAGTGTTGAAAGTGGGTGCTTTAACGATGTCAGATGGTAATTCGTTCCAGACTAATATGGTACGAGGAAAAAATTATTGTTGTCACTATATGGTAGAACTAGAACTAGAAATGTAATAAATCCTGTTTCTCCAGACGCCGGTTTCTGCCTTTCTGGTTTGATTTCACATTAATGCCAAATGTTAAGTGACCACATCATTATCAAGCCAAGGGACAATGTATAAACTTTTTTTGAAACTTAGAATAGGTAAATAATTCATACCAAACCTGTAGCTTCTTCTGCTTACTGAATTTTCTCGAACGAAGTATGACAGGTCAAAACAAATTCTAGCATGTGCACGGAAGTAAACAAGTTAGGCACGGAGTGAATGCGTTGGTTGCGATAGTAACTTCAAAAATAAACGTAAACATTAACAAATAAACAAGTAGTTTATATGCTTTATTTACAAATTTAAAATGACACATGGTGGCAATTTCTTCACATCCTTACATTAAATTGATATGCCAAGCAATAGTGCAGCAGTTACTAACGCACGCACTTCCTGTTTGGAATCCGGGAATTTTGATCGTGTTGTTGTTTATGTCGAATCACAAACCCATCAGAAGCATGCCACTATGATTCAGTAATGTCGATTTGAGTGCTGTACGTATTTAGTAAAAACAAATTAAATTATCGATGTACTTACAGGTATCACATCGTCATCAGAGGTGTACGATGTCCATTTAGGTGATTTACTGATTTAGACAGTCTACCAGACTGGCCCGCAGGCAGAATTCGAAAAATTTAACTAAACCCACATTTCTCATATTTTTAGTGTAAATATTAAAATCTGCACCAGTCCTTACAACAGTACTATTAGCCCTAGTCGTCGGAATGGTGGAATGGTACACTCTGGTAATATTGTTCAGTGTTTTTACTTGAACAGGTCCTGTTGAAGATGAGGATTTCATTTGACAGCTTTCAAAGTAGGACAGGACCACAGTGACCTGATAATTTGTAACAGCTATATTTGGACCTGAACTAAGGTGTTCAGAGTAATTTTACATGTTTTAGGGGTTTAGATTGACTTTTGGTATAAATAACACCTGCATGATCATATGTTTGAGAAGGGAGGAAAGCTCTTGATGTCGAACTTTCTTGCATCAAAAACAACATTTCTAGCTGATCTACGGGAAAAGGCTTGGTTGGAAAGATGGATAATTTTTCTTCTCAAAACCTTTTTAATGCATGTAAAATGTATTCTCCTTCTGCGTACATGAACTCTGTTTCCTCCAAAAACACACACCATTTCAGAGTTTCAAAGTTTTTTCTCAGTCAGCTTGATACTTTTTTAATATTAATGAGGTTGAGGTCAGCGTGTGCTGAAACATGCAGTGTTGGTTGTTTTAGCGAAAAAATGACTGTACTTCCAGCCAATCGCACCATGGGTCTCGATCTGCACCTGGCTGATGCATCGCAACCTCATTAATATTAAAAAAAGTGGCAGGCTGACTGAAATAGCGCAAATATATGATCATTTGGGGTGTCAATTTTATTGAAAGTCGATCTAGACCCCTAAAACATGTAATATTACTATGCCCTACATATATCAATAAAGTGTACACAATTTACAACCGGACATTAGAATCATTAATCATTTAGTACCTAGAACATTCACATTCGAAACAACCTTAAATGGGACAAATATATATATATCAACAACATTACATCAAATTCAAACAAATCACTTGGCTTCTTAAACTATAACTCAAAAGTAAATTTACCTTGCACACTATATAAATGATATTGGGTCATTTAGCCTTTAATCCCCTTCACTCCAGGTCATTTCAGGCTAGGTTGTTTTGCTCTAAAAGTATTTTTAGGATGAACATTTTTCAGACATGTTGATGGCAATAAGATTTGTAAGATTCAAATATATGATTACAGATCTGCAAACTGGATTTAGGGCAAATTGACTGGTTGTGTGAGCAGTATTTTGGGCAAAACAACCCAGATCCATACAAACAACATGTATCAATAATAAAAAGTACAAAAACCATAACACAAGCTCAGTCACATACATGCTAATAATCTTCAATGGCCAACACAGCAAACATGCAGAACAAACAAATGCCTCACACTTTTATGCAAAATGATGCACTAGCATTTGACAAGTTTCAGTAAACCCCAACATTGTTACTCCAACAGATCCCAGAACACAACACAGAAACAACAATAGCTACACACATCTACTCTTATAAAGACAGATACAAACACTCATTCTTTCCAAATGCTAGTCTATATACAGTGGAATCTCTGTCCAAATACCATCACGCAATGCACAACACTTGAAGAACATTTAAAACAAGCACCACATAACACAATGGAAGACATACAGACAACAAAACAACTAACTAATTGGTTGTGTCTTTTAACCTCTTTTTATCCCAAAGCAAATTACAAATAAAAAACTCACTGTACTGGTATAATTTTATATTAACTCGCATAATACTGCACCTTTCCTGATGACGATAATCATCAGAATTGGTAGAGGACTAAAACGATATGGAGTATTAAACCAACTTAACATAGCACTTAATGCTTTAAATTAATTAAGTCAGAAGCCATAATGTCTTATTGTTGTCTTAACAGGTTGTGAACATCCTCTCACTGAAGAGGATGCAGTGAACTCCAGTTCATCATCTCATGTCGGAGGATAGACACCCACATTTGTGTACAGTGGTGTACAGGTAAGGCTGGTATATTTTTTAAAATAGACTAGTTTTATATATATACCACACAAAGAAACATGTGTCTGTTAGAATAATAATATTTGGTAATTTACCAATATGTGATGAGATTGCTTCATAATACTATACTGCTTGTATCCTGTAATTTATATATATATTTGCTTTTAATTAATGCATTATCATTAGAAATACAGTTCAATGACTCTTAAAAATACCAGAAATCAGAAGAATCAGTCAAAATACAGTACCAGGCAGATATCAGTATAGAGTATTCTACGAAAAACAGCAGTAAGACAGTAATATCAATTACTGACAAGAAAGGCGAAATCCCGCAAAGAAAATAGTTGTAGAGTTTCAAAATAAAACCTATATGTCATGTACAGATTTCAACAGTACCCATTTCTCACTGCATGTGTCGTATATAATGACATATTTTCTTCAAGAAATATTGTGATGATTTTCAACGACATCTTTCTATATATACAAGACAGATACTATTTATAAGTTAAACAGCTGTGCAGTGTTTCTTAAGTCCCTGATGTGATCAATAAATTCTATCTAAATTGTTCTGTGCAGACACAATGTTAACTAAAATTCTTGTTTGCTTGTCTTGCCACTAGATGTATCAGGATTTAATGCACCTTACAGGAATTACAGGCAAGTTTAAAATGGAATATGTATAAAGAACACATATAAAATAGAAAATGCGACAGACACATTTGAATAGAACATGCAGAACGCATTTAAATAGGACACTCAAAGTCACATTTTAATTAGAACATAAAAGATAAATTTGCACATTTTAAAATTAAATGGTTTAAACGTGTACAAAAGATGAGTGAAAGGTAATATATGTATGTTATCATGTAGTAATAATAAACTGTTACATGCAATTTTACGTTTTATGTATTTCCTTACAGATTAGCACACATTCAATATGGCAGCTATTGGCCAGGGTTATCTACCTTACTTTGAATCCAAATATTATGATAAGATGGGTATCTTCACTAAAAATGAAGAAGATAATGACACAGAAGATTTTGATCCAGTTGAAGATATTTGTGACGAAAGAATTCAAGACTTGAGCAGTTCAGAAATAAAAAAAATAGGGAAGGGAGCAATGTTAATGGAACCCAGTACCCCGAGAGCTGTAACAGGTATGTATAACGGTATGTACAAACAAAACAGCTGATGTATACGGTATATAGGCACTTTGGAAACTTGATGTCAGTTCCATGGAAGGCTTATTAGTCCCCTACTGGTGAAACCGGGGGGGACTATAGGTTTCCTCTCCGTCCGTCTGTGTACGTACGTAACACTAATGTTTGTCAGCGCTCTAGCTGCTTCATTCCTTGAAGGATTTTGATGAAACTACACACAAATACAAAGGACCATTATATCTTGGAAAAGTTAGAATTTCAGGGTTGTTAGGTCAAGGTCACCGTTACTATTGTTAGAAAATCCTTGTCAGCGCTCTAGCGGCTTCATTCCTTGAGGGATTTGGATCAAACTTCACACAATTACATAGGACCATAATATCTCGGACAAGTTAGAATTTCAGGGTTGTTAGGTCAAGGTCAAAGTCACCGTTACTATTTTTAGAAAATCCTTGTCAGCGCTTTAGCGGCTTCATTCCTTGAGGGATTTTGATCAAACTTCCCATAATTACAAAGGACCATAATATCTCAGACAAGTTCGAGTTTCAGAGTTGTCAGGTCAAGGTCACCATTACTAATTTTTTTGAAACCTTGTCAGCGCTTTAGCGGCTAATTCCTTCAGAGATTTTGATCAAACTTCACACAATTACAAAGGACAATAATATATCGGACAAGTTCAAGTTTCAGGGTTGTCAATCATTTTATTTTATATAATTCCTCTGCCATAATACTAACATTACAATTTCTTGTATTATTATTACATTACAGTTAGTTACAAGCTAATTGTATACTTTTGATTTTCCCAAATTAACACCAAAGGGCACCATTTTTAAAAATCATTACAGTGTAATAGCTAGCGGGGGCCGGTAGGGGACATGTATAGCTTTAGCAATACTCAGTATGCTTGTTTCCTATGGGATCCCTTGTTGATTATGGCTCTTGTTGGTAGCCTGGAAAACTTAGTTCACTTTACAGAGTAATTGCATGTTTCTTTTTGGAGAAACAAATGCAAGAAATCCAATATTCAAATTCCTTATATTTTAAAGGCTTTCAAAATGTAAGCAACCTCTATTCTATAAACAGATTGTCCTTAAACAATGCAAACATAAACTTGATATAACTGTGGGTATACAAAATTTGAATGTTTGACAGTAGAAATAAAAACGGGAAACTGCAGTGGTCAAACTCAGGACCTTTACATTACAAAACCTTCACTCTACCAGTGTTGTCATACAGGAATTGTACAAGCAGAGCATTAAATAGGTGTCCAAGTCCAATTTAGGGTCCATACAGCATATAGAAAGCATGGTACTCCAAATGTTCACCACACTCTAGTTTTACATATTGATTAAACATGATGGTAACCAACACAGAATTAATTTTAGAACTCACTTACACTTTGTGGAGAGACGAGTTTATGTTACGACCAAGGTGGGTCCACAGTTTGAAAAGTATTGATACTTTTCTGTGTGCTTTTACTGTAATGCTCAGCTAAAAAAGTTGAATACTTGAAATCAACATCTTTTTGGAAATTGTGATGTGATGGTCATGTAAGCAAACCATGCCAAAATATTTACATTGCATGGTCACTTGACAATTATTCATGCAATATACCCTTTCATATGTACACATTTGGTGTGACTAAAGTAGAACATAGCAGTAAATAATTTATTTTAGGGAATGCATGTATTTAGAATAAAAACAGTGCATTTTGTAATAGATATATATATATATATTTCAATAGGAACACTTTACAATCCAAATGGCAAAAAACGATGGAGTGTAAAGGCCCGACTTCATCTTGACAACCCCTGGTGGATAGTGCGCTTACTGAGGACTGACACTTATAAAGGTTACGTAGTACCAACAGGTCAAAACGCTGTGTCCTATCGACTCATCACAGATCATCATCTCGTCAAACAGCATAAAATGGTGGAGATACTGCTCACTGATCGCTGTTCAGATAACAGGGCAGCCTTGGACAAGTTTGAACAGTTTGTACAGTAAGTTAGGTTCATTCATTACATATCATTGCTATTCTTTGCTCAAACAATGCTGGAAAGTGTTGCTGGGTCTACACTAGAATTAGGTATACTATTATTATAGTACCCAGTGTCAGTGAGTATACACTGACCAGTTCTTTTAACCTTACTGTATCGCAGACCGTTATCAGACATTTTCAAAACTTAAGGCAATTCCTTCATTATCATTTTTCTATTGAAAAGTATTGTTTGAGTGAAATAAAAAAAATAAAGAATATTTTCTTTACCTTCAGTAATTTTACAAATTGTCAGAAATTGACCTATCAATCTGAGTTCTAGAGAGCTTTCCCATTTAGCCACTATACTATACTGGAGGTAATGCAAATGATTTTTCAACAAGCAAAATACTACCAGTATGTGAATATGTCTCCCAGATAGAGTGAAACCTTGTTATACTGCCCCCTATTGTGTAGAGGTTTGACAATACATAGTAAGGGAGACATAAAAAAGTATTAAGATAAAATAGAAAAGGGCATTGAGATATGTTATAGGTAGGTAAGGTGGTAAACGAGGGATATTATTAGTTATCTCTGGGTTAGGAGGGGTCTACAGCCTCATAGACCCCGACTTGTATTTATAGACCCCTCACCTTTGGCTCGGGATCTATAAATGCACCATAGTGGCCAGTCATTGCCTATTTCATTGAATTTGCTGTCAATTAGGTAGGCTATTTCATCCTGTGAATGATTGGCACAACTCGAATGCTTGTGTGTGTGTCGAACGTCATCTTTGTTGTTATGAAGAGAGATTCAAGTGAGGTGGTAAACGAGGGATAGTCATTTTTATACTGTAAGTGTGGTGGTAAATGAGAGATATTCATGTTTATACTGTAAGTGAGGTGGTAAATGAGAGATATTCATGTTTATACTGTAAGTGTGGTGGTAAATGAGAGATATTCTTGTTTATACTGTAAGTGAGGTGGTAAATGAGAGATATTCATGTTTATACTGTAAGTGAGGTGGTAAACAAGGTATATTCATGGTTATACTGAAAGTGAGGTGGTAAACGAGGTATATTCATGGTTATACTGAAAGTGAGGTGGTAAATGAGAGATATTCATGTTTATACTGTAAGTGAGGTGGTAAATGAGGAATATTCATGTTTATACTGTAAGTGAGGTGGTAAAAGAGGGATATTCATGTTTATACTGTAAGTGAGGTGGTAAACGAGAGATATTCTTGTTTATACTGTAAGTGAGGTGGTAAACGAGATATATTCATGTTTATACTGTAAGTGAGATGGTAAAAGAGGGATATTCATGTTTATACTGTAAGTGAGGTGGTAAACGAGAGATATTCTTGTTTATACTGTAAGTGAGGTGGTAAACAAGGTATATTCATGGTTATACTGTAAGTGAGGTGGTAAAAGAGGGATATTCATTGTTTATACTGTACCAATGCTTACCATTACCATGTCACTTTGAATCAGAATGAGAAACGAGGAGCTGCGACTGGATGTGACACACTTGTTGGACCTGCTACAGAAGTTTGAGGATTACCTACCAGATGATGACAAAGGGATCGTCTCTCAGATCACAAAGAGGCTCACAGGATTTGGTAGGTACTGATACGCAAATACCTCATGTTTACATATACATAACTTAGTTTATTTTGAACGCAGGCATACCTACATCTATGTTCAGATCATAGTCCATATTTATTTAATCATAGTATATAACATTGTCTTTGGTGTGACGTCACTCTAATGTTGTTTTGAATCTCCTTTTATTATTTCCCCTAAATTATCAATGTAGTAAAATTTATTAATGCGGTAAAGGAAAATGGCATCCTTGCAAATGTGCAGTATACAAATCAGAATTTTCCAATTATATATATAGTTCAGTGAAAAAACATCTAACCGGTAATATGAAAAACTTTTAGAAATAATACGCCCTTTTTTGTGCTTTGAATTTTTCTGAGCTTGTGGTCTTACCCTATATGTTAAGCACCAAAAAAATGTGGTAAATTCATCATCTTGGTATAAAAAATACTGACCATACAGCCTCCCAAGATAACACAGTTTATCATGAGACAAATAAACAATACCAGTGGCACAAATAGTACACAATTTTGTGTTGACTAGTATCGCAGGTATGCATGTATACATCAAAACAAGTGCTATCTACAATGACAGATACAAGATAGGTGGTACTTAATAAAGCAATGTAAAGGTATGTAATAAAGCCCTGTAAAGGTATGTAATAAAGCACTGTAACAGTATGTAATAAAGCACTGTAAAGGTATGTAATAAAGAACTGTTAAGGAATGTAATAAAGCACTGCAAAGGTATGTAATAAAACAATGTAAAGGTATGTAATAAAGCACTGTAAAAGTATGTAATAAAGCACTGTAAAGGTATGTAATAAAGCACTGCAAAGATATGTAATAAAACAATGTAAATGTATGTAATAAAGCACTGTAAAGGTATGTAATAAAGCCCTGTAAATGTATGTAATAAAGCAATGTAAAGGTTTGTAATAAACCACTGTAAAGGTATGTAATAAAGCACTGGAAAGGTATGGAATAAAGCACTGAAAAGGTATGTAATAAAGCAACATAAACGTATGTAATAAAGCACTGTAAAGGTATGTAATAAAACAATGTAAAGGTATGTAATAAAGCACTGTAAAGGTATGTAATAAAACAATGTAAAGGTATGTAATAAAGCAATGTAAAGGTTTGTAATAAACCACTGTAAAGGTATGTAATAAAGCACTGTAAATGTATGTAATAAAGAACTGTTAAGGAATGTAATAAATTACTGCAAATGTATGTAATAAAACAATGTAAAGGTATGTAATAAAGCACTGTAAAGGTATGTAATAAAGCACTGCCAAGGTATGTAATAAAGCCCTGTAAAGGTATGTAATAAAGCACTGTAAAGGTATGTAATAAAGCCCTTTAAAGGTATGTAATAAAGCACTGTAAAAGTTTGTAATAAAACAATGTAAAGGTATGTAATAAAGCAATGTAAAGATTTGTAATAAAGCACTATAAAGGTATGTAATAAAGCAATGTAAAGGTATTTAATAAAGCAATGTAAAGGTATGTAATAAAGAAAAGTAAAAGTATGTAATAAAGCACTGTAAAGGTATGTAGTAAAGCAATGTAAAGGTATGTAATATAGCCATGTAAATGTTTGTAATAAAGCCCTGTAAAGGTATGTAATAAAGCACTGCAAAGGTATGTAATAAAGCACTGTAAAGGTATGTAGTAAAGCACTGTAAAGGTATGTAGTAAAGCCCTGTAAATGTATGTTATAAAGCACTGTAAATGTATGTAATAAAACACTGTAAAGGTATGTAGTGAAGCACTGTAAATGTATGTAGTAAAGCCCTGTAAAGGTATGTAGTAAAGCCCTGCAAAGGTATTTAATAAAGCAATGTAAAGGTATTTAATAAAGCAATGTAAAGGTATATAATAAAGCAAAGTAAAGGTTTGTAATAAAGCACTGTAAAGGTTTGTAATAAAGCCCTGTAAAAATATGTAATAAAGCACTGTAAAGGTATGTAGTAAAGCACTGTAAAGGTATGTAGTAAAGCCCTATAAAGGTATTTAATAAAGCACCGTAAGGTATGTAATAAAGCCCTGCAAAGATATGTAATAAAGCACTGCAAAGGTATGTAATAAAGCAATGTAAAGGTTTGTAATAAAGCAATGTAAAGGTGTGTAATAAAGCACTATAAGGGTATGTAATAAAGCAATGTAAAGGTTTGTAATAAAGCACTGTAAAGGTATGTAATAAAGCCCTGTAAATGTATGTAATAAAGCAATGTAAAGGTATGTAATAAAGCAATGTAAAGGTATGTAATAAAGCACTGTAAAGGTATGTAATAAAGCACTGTAAATGTATGTAATAAAGCCCTTTAAAGGTATGTAATAAAGCAATGTAAAGGTTTGTAATAAAGCACTGTAAAGGTTTATAATAAAGCTTTTTAAAGGTATGTAATAAAGCATTGTAAAGGTATGTAATAAAGCTCTGTAAATGTATGTAATAAAGCCCTGTAAATGTATGTAATAAAGCAATGTAAAGGTATGTAATAAAGCCCTGCAAAGGTATGTAATAAAGCACTGCAAAGGTATGTAATAAAGCAATGTAAAGGTTTGTAATAAAGCAATGTAAAGGTGTGTAATAAAGCACTATAAGGGTATGTAATAAAGCAATGTAAAGGTTTGTAATAAAGCCCTGTAAATGTATGTAATAAAGCAATGTAAAGGTATGTAATAAAGCAATGTAAAGGTATGTAATAAAGCCCTGTAAAGGTATGTAATAAAGCACTGTAAAGGTATGTAATAAAGCCGTAAAGGTATGTAATAAAGCACTGTAAGGGTATGTAATAAAGCCGTAAAGGTATTAATAAAGCACTGTACAGGTATGTAATAAAGGTATGTAATAAAGCACTTTAAAGGTATGTAATAAAGCCCTGTAAAGGTATGTAATAAAGCACTATAAGGGTATGTAATAAAGCCCTTTAAAGGTATGTAATAAAGGTATGTAATAAAGCACTGTAAGGGTATGTAATAAAGCCCTTTAAAGGTATGTAATAAAGGTATGAAAGGTATGTAATAAAGGTATGTAATAAAGCCATTTAAAGGTATGTAATAAAGGTATGTAATAAAGCACTGTAAGGGTATGTAATAAAGCCCTTTAAAGGTATGTAATAAAGGTATGTAATAAAGGTATGTGTAATAAAGGTATGTAATAAAGGTATGTAATAAAGGTATGTAATAAAGCACTGTAAAAGAGATAACACTGGGTTTGTTACAGATGGGAAGATGATAAAGAGAGCACAGGAATTCCCAGAGCTGTTCCGTTATCTCCCTCAACTGGTACCTCATCACTTCCTGTCCCTCATAAACACGGGCCAGGTGACAATCCTTGAGAGGCTGGATTTCGCCTTGAAGGAAGAACCTTGGGTGTTTGCATTCAAGCGGGTAATTGAAATGATGATGCTTATTGCTGGTTGGTATAGAACCATAAATTGACTGATGATCAACTTTTTAATATCAAATCTGTGTTGCATGTCAATGTCCGAAATCAGGGTTTTTATTCTAAGACAAGTAATTTCCCCAGTGAAATGATCATTAAAGAGCATTATATTTAGATATCATATTTCCAAAATGCAGCATCTTTGCTACAAATAATGTAAGGTTTTAATAATTTCTATAAAGTGTGACAGGCAGCCATCTTGGATTTTGATAGTGAAGGTTTGTACTGGAGAGATTTTTCTCAAATTGTAAATATAGGTTCCTCTTGGTCTGTAGTTGTGCATGTTTAATTTTGAGACTGATCGGATTTAGAAAATGGCCAACAGGCCACCATCTTGGATTGTGACATTAAAAGTCTGTTATTACTACTAAAGTATTTCTCAGGAAGTACCAAAAGGATGTTTCTAAAATTTTATATGTAGTTTCCCCTTGGTCCCTAGTTGTGCGGGTTAACTTTTAAGACTGATCGGATTAACAAAATGGCCGATAGGCCACCATCTTGGATTGTGACATTAAAGGTTTGTTATCACTATTTCTCAGCAAGTACTGGAAGGTTCTTTTGCAAATTTTATATGTAGGTTCTCCTTGGTCCCTAGTTGTGCAGGTTAACTTTTAAGACTGATCAGATAAACAAAATGGCTGATAGTATATAGGCCACCATCTTGGATTGGGACATTAAAGGTTTGTTATCACTATTTCTCAGCAAGTGCTGGAGGGATCTTTCTCAAATTTGATATGTCGGTTCCTCTTGATCCTTCGTTGTATATTTTGAGACTGATCATAAAAACAAAATGGCTAAAGGAAGAACTAAACAGATCTTTCTCATATTGCAACGATTGATGTACTAGTAAATATGTAAAATGACAAACTCACTTTGAAGGTTGTCTGTTAAACACAGCAGTATTAACTTTAGATCAAAAGTTACCTCAAGGTTAACATGCCTCGATCAAACAGGTTAGAGAAAAGAAGAGAAAAGATCGAACTGACAAAGAACTAATGAAGATGGTACAATGGTGGCGCCAAGATCCCTCTGGGATCTCTTGTTTTATCCTATTCCAGCATAAACTTATAACTTTTTTCCCCCAATGTTCTGACTGGCTACAGCAAAAGGTCACTAGAACACGACCCCTGACCCAGCATTGTCAGATACTACACTCTGATGTTTCATAGAGGAACAATAAAGGATTTAAACCTAATCATTTTATAAGATAATGACATTAATCATACAAGAGGCCCAGAGGGCCTGTATTGCTCACTTGTGTTTTTTTGATACATGAAACTGACATATAGGTCATTGTTATTTCAAATTTGTGAAATTTTAATTTTAAAGATTTAACCCATGTTGACCTTTGACTCCTGCTAGCACTTAAAGTTGACCTTTGATCTCATTACTGTAATATAAAAAATGATTCACACAGCTGTTCTACATAACATACCCAAGTATTTTGACTAGTCCAAATGGTTCTTATGATATTGTTGTTTGAAGTTTTTAGCTCACCATCATCTGATGGTGGGCTATTCAAACCACCCTGCGTCCGTGGTCCGTCGTCCGTCGTCCGCCGTCCGTCCGTAAACAATTCTTTGTTATCGGTATTTCTCAAGAAGTGCCAGAGAGATCTTTCTCAAATTTTATATGCAGGTTCCCCTTGGTCCTAAGCTGTGCAGGGCAACTTTTGAGACTGATCGGATAAACAACATGGCCGACAGGCAGCCATCTTGGATTTTGATAGTGAAAGTTTGTTATCGCTATTTCTCAAGAAGTACTAGAGGGATCTTTCTCAAATTTTATATGTAGGTTCCCCTTGGTCCTTAGCTGTGCAGGGCAACTTTTGAGACTGATCGGATAAACAACATGGCCGACAGGCAGCCATCTTGGATTTTGATAGTGAAAGTTTGTTATCGCTATTTCTCAAGAAGTACCAGAGGGATCTTTCTCAAATTTTATATGTAGGTTCCCCTTGGTCCTTAGCTGTGCAGGGCAACTTTTGAGACTGATCGGATAAACAACATGGCCGACAGGCAGCCATCTTGGATTTTGATAGTGAAAGTTTGTTATCGCTATTTCTCAAGAAGTACCAGAGGGATCTTTCTCAAATTTTATATGTAGGTTCCCCTTGGTCCTTAGCTGTGCAGGGCAACTTTTGAGACTGATCGGATAAACAACATGGCCGACAGGCAGCCATCTTGGATTTTGATAGTGAAAGTTTGTTATCGCTATTTCTCAAGAAGTACCAGAGGGATCTTTCTCAAATTTTATATGTAGGTTCCCCTTGGTCCTTAGCTGTGCAGGGCAATTTTTGAGACTGATCGGATAAACAACATGGCCGACAGGCAGCCATCTTTGGTTTTGATATTGTAGGTTTGTTACCGCTATTTCTCCGGAAGAACTAGAGGGATCTTTCTTAAATTTTATATGTAGGTTCCCCTTGGTCCTAGCTGTGCAGGGCAATTTTAGAGACTGATCGGATAAACAACATGGCCGACAGGCAGCCATCTTGGATTTTGATAGTGAAAGTTTGTTATCGCTATTTCTCGGGAAGTACGGGAGGGATCTTTCTCAAATTTTAAATGTAGGTTCCCCTTGATCCCTCGTTGTGTATGTTATATTTTGAGACTGATCATAAAAACAAAATGGATTAAAAGAACTAAACAGATCTTTCTCATATTGCAATGATCGTTTCTATTTCTTTCACATTAAGTACTGTACTAGTAAATATGTGAAATGACAAACTCACTTTGAAGGTTGACTTTCATACACATCAGTATTAAGTTTAGATCAAAAGTTACCTCAAGGTGCATTTACTGTTAACATGACTCGATCGATCAAACAGATTAGAGGAAAGAAGAGAAAAGATCGAACTTACAAAGAACTAATGAAGATGGTACAAAGGTGGGCGCCAGGATCCCTCTAGGATCTCTTGTTAACATATTTGACCCCTGTGACCTTGAAACTAGGTCAAGGTCATTTCAATAAGAAAACTTTCTAGCACTCAATCGCAGATACCTACTGGCCAAATATCATGACCCTGGGCCTTATGGAACTTGAGGATAAGATTGTTAAAGCTTTTAACCCGTGTTGGCATTTGACCCCTGACTAGCACTTAAAGTTGACCTTTAACCTCATTACTGTAATTAAATAACAGATTTGCACTGCTGGTCTACATAACTTACCCAAGTATCATGACTCTAGTCCAAATGGTTCATAGGATATTGTTGTTTGAAGTTTTTAACATATTTAACCCCTGTGACCATGAAAGTAGGTCAAGATCATTTTAATGAGGAAACTCTATAGCACTCAATCCCAGGTACCTATTTGTCAAATATCATGACCCTAGGTCCTCAAGTTCTTCAAAAGAAGTCGTTCAGAAGAAAAAGTTGATGGATGCGGGACTTGGGATGATAACACAAATTTATAGTAAAAAATGAAAATTTATTTTATATTTGTTTTTTCAACTTCATTTATACAGTATATATAATATGGTATCATATTTTATTATTCATTTGATGATCCTTTAACAGATTCTGGTGAAGGAGTACAATGTGATGGGGGTTGAGGTGAGTCAGGAGGTACTCAGAAAGTGTGGTATCTTATCAAAAATACCAAAACTATACCGGGAAGCCATTGAATTGTACACTTATGTGAAGAATGAAACAAATGCACATGGCCATACCTGTCTACAGCTTAACTCTATATACCATGACAAAAGGCTTGAAAAGCTCAACAAGGTGAGAGAACAGACAGCTGCTCTGCAGTATCTGTACGATAAAGAGATACTCGTAAAGGAGAGAATGGGAGGTAAAGTGTGGACATTTCCTTACGACCTGTGGAAGAGTGAGGTGAACATCGCAAAAGGCCTGAACCACCTGTTCCAGCAACACATAAACAAACCAGAGATATTGGACATCGACATCAGAAACAAGTAAGTCACATGTACCTTATAGCCACCATTATATCGTACAGGAGATATTGGACATCAACATCAGAAACAAGTAAGTCACATGTAACATAGCTACCATTATATCATACAGTAGATATAGGACATCAACATCAAAAACAAGTAAGTCACATGTACCTTAGGGCCACCATTATATCGTACAGAAGATATTGGACATCAACATCAGAAACAAGGGAGTCACATGTAACATAGCCACCATTATATCGTACTGGAGATATTGGACATCAACATCACAAACAAGTGAGTCACATGTACCTTAGCCACCATTATATCATACAGGAAATATTGGACATCAACATCAAAAACGAGTGAGTCACATGTAACATAGCCACCATTATATCATACAGGAGAAATTGGACATCAACATCAAAAACAAGTGAGTCACATGTACCATAGCCACCATTATATCATACAGGAAATATTGGACATCAACATCAAAAACAAGTTAGTCACATGTAACATAGCCACCATTATATCATACAGGAGAAATTGGACATCAACATCAAAAACATGTAAGTCACATGTAACATAGCCACCATTATATCATACAGGAGAAATTGGACATCAACATCAAAAACAAGTTAGTCACATGTAACATAGCCACCATTATATCATACAGGAGACATTGGACATCAACATCAAAAACAAGTTAGTCACATGTAACATAGCCACCATTATATCGTACTGGAGATATTGGACATCAACATCAAAAACGAGTGAGTCACATGTAACATAGCCACCATTATATCATACAGGAAATATTGGACATCAACATCAAAAACATGTAAGTCACATGTAACATAGCCACCATTATATCATACAGGAAATATTGGACATCAACATCAAAAACAAGTCAGTCACATGTAACATAGCCACCATTATATCGTACAGGAGATATTGGACATCAACACAAAAAACAAGTGAGTCACATGTACCTTAGGGCCACCATTATATCGTACAGAAGATATTGGACATCAACATCAGAAACAAGGGAGTCACATGTAACATAGCCACCATTATATCATACAGGAAATATTGGACATCAACATCAAAAACAAGTTAGTCACATGTAACATAGCCACCATTATATCGTACAGAAGATATTGGACATCAACATCAGAAACAAGGGAGTCACATGTAACATAGCCACCATTATATCATACAGGAGAAATTGGACATCAACATCAAAAACAAGTTAGTCACATGTAACATAGCCACCATTATATCGTACAGGAGATATTGGACATCAACACCAAAAACAAGTGAGTCACATGTCCCATAGCCACCATTATATCATACAGGAGAAATTGGACATCAACATCAAAAACAAGTAAGTCACATGTACCTTAGGGCCACCATTATATCATACAGGAGATATAAGACATCGACATCAAAAACAAGTAAGTCACATGTAACATAGCCACCATTATATCATACAGGAGATATAGAACATCGACATCAGAAACAAGTAAGTCACATGTAACATAGCCACCATTATATCATACAGGAGATATAGGACATCGACATCAGAAACAAGTAAGTCACATGTACCTTAGGGCCACCATTATATCATACAGGAGATATAAGACATCGACATCAAAAACAAGTAAGTCACATGTACCTTAGGGCCACCATTATATCATACAGGAGATATTGGACATCGACATCAAAAAACAAATTAATTCCTATAGGTACATCTTGTGCTAAACAACTAATTTGGTCAGTATAAAAAAACATTACCTAATGGAAATTGACTGTAATGAAATTTTTTTCCCCGGCAGTCCAGAGTTTGAAAACATAAGTAAAGACAAGGATCAGATGAAGGCTGCTGAGTTTATCAAGAATTATCCTGTGGTTGTCATATCTGGGAAGGGAGGGTGTGGCAAAACAACGGTTGTGACCAAGGTGATGTCAGAAACGTGAGTAGCTCACTCCTAGGTTTCTATTCTTACTTCCAAGTTGAAACCAAGTCCATTAAGGGTGTATGCTAACTTACTTGTATCTTTTACCTGAGGAGTTCCACACTTGTAAAATTGTCAAGTTTTAAAACTCCTGTAAAATATTCTTAATGTTTGAATAGAGCTGGTAATTTTTGATGCGAACAGAATAAGTATATATTATAACAGAATAAGTATTTTATAACAGAATAACTATATTATAACTGATGTTTGATTCCTATCAACTTTTGTTGTATATACACTGGCATTATACTTACAGTTACAAAGCTTCCAGTTCCAAAGAAATCAGTGAAAATCTGATAGTTCTGTACACTGCTCCGACGGGAAAGGCTGCTAAACTGTTAGGACGTAAAGCAGGCACAGATGGATATACGCTACATCAGATCATTTATAGTTACCGTGGTTATTTGAAACAGAAGCCTGAGTCTCCCTGGAAGTTCTCCAGTACTGAGGTGCTCATTGTTGATGAATGTAGCATGGTCCCTGTCCACATCTTTGCAACTTTATTGGACATTCTCCAGAGAAATTCTAATCTGAAGCGAGTTGTTTTCCTTGGGGATATACGACAACTACCTTCTGTCCAACCAGGAAATTTCCTGGCTGACATTTTTAAACCTTTCGAGTGGAAACCTGGCTGTAGTGTTGAGCTCAGAACCAACCACAGGGCAGAGTCAGAATTAATTGTCAAAAATGCTACAAAAATTTCTTCAAGGAAGATGCCACAATTTGATGACCGGAGTAATTACAGATTACATCCAGTTTTGGCCAATAAACAAAACCCTGACCAGGAGGAATATGAAAATGAAAATTTCAGAAAAGGTACTGAAGAATGAAATACCTGAAATCTTATATATAATGTTACCTGATATATGTATTACTCATCATAAGTAAATTCTTTCAGTACATAAATTGTTGTTGTGATAGTGGTCACCTCAAAAAGATAAAGATTTGTTTAGGAACTTTATACCATGAACGTATCCTCATACATAATCATGGAAGACAAGTTAAGATAACACCAAAGGGTCCTGTTGGCAACACTGTATCTCTTAACTCTGAAGTTCTTTATTTTCCAGGGGGGTTGTATTTGATACATTTGTGCATTATGATATGACTGCAAAAACACACTGTTATAGTTAATAATTAGGGCCCCATATCATAGATACGGGTGCCCTATAGTAATCACTCTGTCTGTCTGTTTGACCGATGTACATGAAACTTGGTCAAGATGTTCAGTTCACAAAAATACACATTGAGGTAAATAGTCAAGTTCAAAGGTCAAGGTCATTGGGTGCATCTTTTCACTGATGAACATTTTGTTATGACATGATAAAGCAAAGTTGACCAGAATTAAACAAGGAGACAACCTGACCAAATGTCAAGGTCATTGGGTCAAAGGTCAAGGTTAAATTTTGTATCTTTTCACTGGTGAACATTTTGGTATGATATGATGAAGCAAAGTTGATCAGAATTAAACAAGGAGACAACCTGACCAAATGTCAAGATCATTGGGTCAAAGGTCAAGGTTAAATTTTGTATCTTTTCACTGGTGAACATTTTTTTATGTTATTATATAGCAAACTTGTTCAGAACTTAACACAGAGACAACTGACCTTAGGTCCAGGTTACGGTGTCCAAACGGTCAAGGTCAAGTTTTGTATTTTTCACTGATGGACATTTTGTTATGATATTATGAAGCAAAGTTGGTCGGAATTAAAGAATAAGTCAAATGACCAAAGATCAGGGTCACTGGGTTAACGGTCAAGGTCATTTAGGTTTCAAAGGTCAAAGACAAAGTGGATCTCTGACTTTGACCCTGGCTCTTGATGGAGGAGGTATATAAGGTGAAATAAAACAAATCAAAGCTAACAAATGAGTATTGCACCGGTATTTACATTTTTGTTAGCCCAGCAAATATGGAGGTGGAAGGAAACAAGACTCACATCATAGTACATGTAAAATGTATATTTTGCTTCCTTGCAATTCTTTTTGAAGTCCAAATGTCAAATGTCAAGCTCAGCTATATGAGCAGGTTGCTTCTTGATGATGATGGGGGATATATTGCCACAAGACGGGGCCCTTACTGACCTGTCAGTGTTCTAGTTATAATCTACAAAACTCATCTATAACGGTCTATTATAGAACGGGAGTAAGTCCAATGTTAAGATGTCTCCTGTGGGTATTATTTAAGCGTTGAACTATTTTCATATGGGCTTTATAGTCTGTTGTGGGTATTACACATATATGTGTTACCAGTAACTTTTGATTATGAGAAGTTCTTTTTACACAACCAATAAAATTTTCTATGTTATGTTTCGGTGACATTATATTATTACACACAAAGGTGTAAAATGTGACTCTCGCACATCTATGACCAAGTGTTAACAAAGCGTAGCTGAATTGATTCATTTCGATACATAAATAACAACTATTGTACATACGTTTCCAGCGTAGCCGAAATCGACATCGATTTTATGGACAGCTCATACACATTTTACATCTTTGTGGGCATACGCTTCATTGGTCATTTGTCTGATGAAGGTGACAGTGTACATATCGTACTAGTAATCGGAATGTCACATAGAAAACTTAATTGGTTGTGTAAAAAGAACTTCTCATAATCCATACTTACCAACCTGAAGAAAACGTTTAGAACTTTTGATGTCTGCTGAATTGAAGATCAAGACATGTGTCGTTAGTAAGTGTATCTAATATTTGTATTTAATTCTTTTCAGTCATGTCAGGGATACTACTTTTTAGTTACATTGGCAAAATCAATTCAAAAATCAAATTATTACAAAATTTGATATCATTTACAGTTTTAGAAGAAATGCTGAGGTCACAAGACAACATGAAAGATCACACCACCTCCCATATCATCGCCTTTAGAAGGTAATCTTTGGTAATGTTTGGGAACAGCATCATATTGTTAGAAAAACACCTTCTTCTTGCACTTAAACATTCTTTTTTATACATTTATCAAACTCTTTTAAATCTTCTTGTTATAATATTAACCTGTTTGCTGCTGTGAATAATGAACAATTGTTTTGGAGTTTTGGAGCAACATTTACCTCTTTGAACCCAAAGTCTACACTTTTGCTTAAGATGAGGGTTCAACAAAACATCTGTTGACCTCGGCCCCAGTCAGCAACTGTTTTGTAACATTGTGTACATTTGAATGAACATTGACTTGATAATATTGCAACCATGAGTTATGGAAGGCTTTGGAGTAGACTGTTTTTTCTCATTCTAAACATTTTGTGTATAAACAACAGTCAACATGTTGGTAACGTCGATTTTCAGAAACATGTGTAAAGTGATCAACCAGTTGGCGATGGAATTCTACAACCCCGATCCCGTAGAAGGAAGATCGAGGGAGATTAACAAATTTAGAATTGGAGATAAAGTTGGACTGTACAAGAATGGATGGGTTAACATATTTAAGTGGGAGGATGGTAGGCCAGGATCTGTCCGCCCTGTGTTTGTGGAGGACAATGATGACAACCTGATACAGCCCACCCAGCTTCCAGCAGGGATAGAGACACCCTGCAAGATCGGCACAGCCCAAGTTTTACCGTACGAAAAGGAGCTGTCTGTGTGTCACAGTCAAGAACAAGAGCTGCTGCAGGGGCGGGACCATTCCACGGGGTCACTGTCACAGAGTGGTGAAAAAGAACAGCTTCAAAAGAAGTTGAGGCTTTGCAATGGAGAGATATATTTCATCAAAGATGTATGTTTAGTCCAGGAAGTCAATTACTATGAAGAAGATAACTTTTTCAAAGATGAAAGTGTTATTTTTTAATTTAGTATTTGTTCTTGTTAAAGTTCACTTTTTTTTCATTTTTTGGTAACAACATAATCAATTTTCAGTAAAAAAAAGTATAATTTGAGACTGTGTTAACATTTCTGTTATTATAACTGTCACATAATAGGCCTTGAGTTATGACCTGGAAATCATGATGACTAAATAGAGGATTGTCCATCCACCAGTCTGTCCATCTGTCCTGTCTGACTTGGTCTCGGGCATATCTCCTTTACTATTACACTAACGATTGTTAAAGTTGGCCTATGAGTGCATTTGGGATGATGGAGTATCACTTATTGAAAGTAGTTCACTGTGACCTATATTTCAACCTTTGACATCCATTATTGACAAGTTTTGTCCAGAGCATTTCATACATTTATCAGCCAGACCACAAACCTGATACATGTATAGTGTCACATAACTAAAGTAGGTCGACGTGACCTTTATCTGACCTTTGACTTACAACATGATCAGAGGTTTGCCTAGAACATCATTTCTAGACTATAGTATGGAAGGTCGGTGCGCAATATAATTGCAAATTGCAAATTGCTGATATATTCAATGTGAATTGCTAATTGCTCATTGCTGATATACTCAATTCAAATTGCTAATTGCTGATATATCACCTGCGAATATATTACTATGGCAGTTAGCCAAATTTGCGTATCCCGGTTGAAACGGTATGTGTGGTGCAGAAACATTCCACAATAAACGTACGCACTTGGACCGTTCTGTAAGCAGAGCTAAAAATGCACAGTTTCGGAGAATAAAAAACAATGTATCAAGAATATTATGCCGTTCTTTCATCCGTCTACTGAATTACATATCTTAAAAACTACATGTGACTTGACATTGTTTTAGAAAGAAATAACACAAACTGGCAATAGTCAGCATTTTAGTTTTTTGTCAGGTACATCTGGACCCCCCAATCTACACGTGCTGAATTTTCCTGAGGTCAGCCTCGGTTCAGATCTGTCCTTGTCGTTTTCTTTACAAGTTCAACCGGATGCGGGAATTTACCCCTAGAGTGGTTTCCCTTGCGCATCCAGATTTATTGGTCACAATTTTTTACGCGGGAAAATGGAATGCTGCGGATGTCGCAAACCTTTATTAGACAAAGCAAGCCGCCATTGAGGCAAATTATGTCGCCTTCAATTAGGCAATTCGCAATTCGCAATATTGGCATATACATGTATCAGCAATTAGAAATTAGCATGTAATATCAGCAATTCGCAATTAGCAATTCGCATTGCTATCCGGCCTTCCATACTAAAGCACCTAGAAACATCAAATCTTACAAGGAAATGCACCTTAAAAGTAGGCCATTTTGCCCGTTATTAAAATTTTACCTATATCAAAAAGGTGTGTGTTCATCTTGTATCATACTCTTTAAATGGTGTGACACTATTAATTGTATCCTTTTTCTTGTTTCATTTATGAATTAATCCTTTTTGATAGGATTATGAACAAGATGAAGAAGTTAAGAATGGTGCACATCGGCAGAGACGTTACCTGAAGCTGTCCGATGAGGACCCTGACTCACCGACCGAATTCTATGCCCTGTACTCACAGCTAATGAGGGAATGCAAGATGACACAGGCCTGGGCCAAAACCATACACACATTCCAGGTAACGTACTTATTTTAACACAGTCACAGATAACATAAAGGTAATTAAATTAGCTCAAACACAGATACCTAGGCAACATAATGTTCCTGTATTAGCGAAGGTACCTAGGTAATGTAGATGTCCTGATATTTGTACAGTCACGGGTAATGTAGATGCCCCGATATTAGTACAGTCAAGGGTAATGTAGATGTCCCGCTATTAGTACAGTCACAGGTAATGCAGATGTCCTGATATTAGTAAAGTCGCAGGTAATGGAGATGTACTTGTATTAGTACAGTCACGGGTAAGGTAGATGTCCCGATATTAGCACAGTCACGGGTAATGTAGATGCCCCGATATTAGTACAGTCAAGGGTAATGTGGATGTTCCGATATTAGTACAGACACGGGGAATGAAGATGTCCCGATATAAGTTCAGTCGCAGGTAATGTAGATGTCCTTGTATTAGTACAGTCACAGGAAATATAGATGTCCTGATATTAGTTCAGTCACAGGTAATGTAGATTACAGTCACAGGTAATGTAAATGTCCTGATCTTAGTACAGTCACGGGTAATGCAAATGTCTCTATATTAGTACAGTCACAGGTAAGGTAGATGTCCCGATATTAGGACAGGCACAGGTAATGTAGATGTCCCTATTTTAGTACAGTCACAGGTAATACACAGTCACAGATAACATAAATGTAATTAAATTAGCGCAAACACAGATACCTAGGCAACATAATGTTCCTGTATTAGTGAAGGTACCTAGGTAATGTAGATGTCCTGATATAAATACAATCACGGGTAATGCAAATGTCTCTATATTAGTACAGTCACAGGTATTATAGATGTCCTGATATTAGTTCAGTCACAGGTAATGTAGATGTCCTTATATTAGGACAGTCACGGTTAATGTAGATGTCCCGATATGAGTACAGTCACCGGTAATGTAAATTTCCTGATATTAGTACAGTCCTAGGGTAATGTAGATGTCCCGACATTAGTACAGTCACAGGTATTATAGATGTCCTGATATTAGTTCAGTCACAGGTAATGTAGATCTCCTGATATTAGTACAGTCACAGGTAATGTAGATGTCCTGATATAAATACAGTCACGGGTAATGCAAATGTCCCTATATTAGTACAGTCACAGGTAATGTAGATGTCCCGATATTAGTACAGTCACGGGTAATGTAGATGTTCCGATATTAGTACAGTCACGGGTAATGTAGATGTCCCGATATTAGTACAGTCACGGGTAATGTAGATGTCTCGATATTAGTACAGTCACAGGTAATGTAGATATCCTGATATTAGTACTGTCACAGGTAATGTAGATGTCCCGATATTAGGACAGGCACAGGTAATGTAGATGTCCTTGTATTAGTACAGTCACAGGTAATGTAGATGTCCTTGTGTTAGTACAGTCACAGGTAATGTAGATGTCCTGATATTTGTCCTGATATTAGTACAGTCACGGGTAATGTAGATGTCCCGATATTAGTACAGTCACAGGTAATGTAGATGTCTGATATTAGTAAAGTCACAGGTAATGTAGATGTCCAGATATTAGGACAGTCACAGGTAATGTAGATGTCCAGATATTAGGACAGTCACGGGTAATGTAGATGTCCTGATATTAGTACAGTCACAGGTAATGTAGATGTCCTGATATTAGTAAAGTCACAGGTAATGTAGATGTCCTTGTATTTATCCAGTCACGGGTAATGTTGATGTCCCGATATTAGTACAGTCACGGGTAATGTAGATGTCCTGATATTAGTACAGTCAC